TGCTGGAAGGTTTATCTGAATCCCTGAGCCTTTTCATTTTGGCTGGGTCTGTACCTGAACTCTGAATTTGTGGTATTCCGGTATATGAACCGTTACTTCTGGATCATCCCAATTAAGATAGGTTAACATGGAAACACCTGTAGTTTCAACAAGGGTCAAAGGAACCTTCTTGCCATTAGAAGTGTGTGTATGATATGATGACTTCAACTTGAAGAATCAGTTTGTCACGGTAGTGTTGCTTATTGGGGCTTTCCTTTTTTAGCAAAAGGTGGGAGACTCATCCATGTCCAAGATCATGATTTCATCAAGAACCGGTTTCAAGGAATGGGGAGGAACTCTTACCTTTTCGGTTTGGTGGTATGTCCCTTAAATGCTGAAATCTCTAATACTGCAAATGAGAAATTCTGTTTTGAGGATCGAATACAAATACAAAAGACTGGAGCTTTTGTAGGTTTCTTTTGATGACCTCCATTCTTGACATTATTGTGTGTTGCAGCATTCATTTTTCAAGCAATTCTATGGATCCGTTAGCAAGTCTGATTACATCACATTGCGGGCAGGTTTCATCATGGTGGGTTCTACCTATTTCTCTTGCAACCCCTTCATTATCAATTTATTTTTATGTGTAACTAGCAAATTTCCCCCGATTTTTGAACTTCTCTTAGTGTTCTGAAACAAAACCTCTTGGCAGACTCACTGCAGGGGAAGTCCGAAGTTCAATTTCCACAAGTACATGATGCGAGCGCTCGAAGCTGACTTCAAGAAGGTCGTTGGTATCAGGTATGGTTGCGAATACTATATCTTAACTATAATCAGTAGCTACATCTATATGGAGCTGTGAGAATGTTAGCTTCATCATTTACGTGGTTTTTGGTTCTGCAGTTGGTATCTTTGGATCTTTGTCGTTATCTTCTTGTTACTGAATGTGGCTGGTGAGTGAGACTTCGAAGCATATTTTCTGCTCTTGCTGAGATAATATGAGGCTGATGCTGAGTGCTGACACAATTTTCACATTCCATTCTGCAGGATGGCATGCATACTTCTGGATAGCTTTCGTTCCCTTCGGTGTAAGCCATCATACTGCTACCATCATACTGCTAACTAAATTTTCCTTTTATTTTGCTATATTCCAAGCAGCAACTGAAGAGCTGCTGGCTCCTTAGGTTTTATGTAAGGGAACCCTCCGTTGTATTGACGTTAGGTCTTTGTTTGTGCAGCTACTACTAGCAGTCGGTACCAAGTTAGAGCACATCATAACCAAACTGGCCCATGAAGTAGCTGAGAAACATGTAGCTGTGACTGGAGATTTAGTGGTTCAGCCTTCTGATGATCTCTTCTGGTTCCATAAACCTAAGCTTGTTCTGTTCCTCATCCATGTCATCCTCTTCCAGAACTCCTTTGAACTTGCGTTTATCTTCTTCATATGGGTGAGTGAGCAACTAACTGAACATAGAATCATTCATGGACCGATCTCTTTTTTTTTTTTTTTTTCATGGATGATCTCTTTCAATATTTTCATCATCATTATATTTAAAAGGACTTCAAAACTGCAGCTTCAATACAAGTTCGATTCCTGCATAATGGGGAAAGTTGGTTACATCATCCCCCGACTCATTTTAGGGTAAGATTGCTTTCTTTCAGTTGTTCATTCATATGTAACTAAACCAATCAGTATTTTATGGAGTGAAAAAGTCTCATATGTAACTTTGGTTGAATCTCATCTCCCACATTCCAGGGCATTTGTACAGTTTGTCTGCAGCTATAGCACTCTTCCACTCTATGCCCTGGTGACACAGGTAATCTCATTTCTTTCTCACTTCAGTCCAAGCTTTTCTATGAGAACGACCCGAAAAACCTTAATTGGCATTCAATACCCTGTGATCAATTCTTTACAACTTCACCATTCCATGAAAAACTCAAACCAAAAGCAAATTGTGCTGTTTAACATGAACAGATGGGAAGTCAATTCAACAAGGCGGTATTCGAAGAGCACGTTCAAGTGGGACTGGTCGGTTGGGCGAAGCAGGCCAAGAAGAACACCGTTCTAAGGAAGGCTGCTGCTAATGGTGAATCGTCTACTACCCATCATGCTGCTGGACACAGCGAAGATTCTTCTTCTCCTCCTCCTCGCCCTGCTCCTCTGGCCGCCGCCTTCCAAATGGCGAAACTGGCAAAGAAAGAGAACAGCAGCAGTAATGGAGATCAAGGCGGGGAGATTGTTGGTGATGATAGTGGAACTGCAACTGCAGCAGCTTCTTCCCATGGACCTCATAAGAGCAGTTGAACCACAATGCGGAGGAAAAGCTGGTTTCTTTTTGTAAATCCATGGTGACTTGTAACTTTTACCGACAGTTAGATCTATACTTGAAGTCTGAATTTGGAAGAACATGGTCATTTTGTTGAAGTACATAGGTTTTAGTGTGTATTGTTAAGCTTATTGCAGTGTATCAGTATTTTCCTTTCTGGTATAGTTACACCTTATGGCGCAATTACTCCAGCAGCATGTTGCTTTAGTGTGAAGGAGTTGAATGCTAAGGCCGACATTACCGCCATTCGTCGCCGCCAACGTCGTCGTTTTCCTCTGCATGATTGGATAACGATAATCTATTTTACGTTCACAGAGAAACAGCGCCGCGTGTAAAAGAAAGCTCTAAGTACGTGGAGGAATAATGGAATTCCGTTCCTTATTCTATTGCATACCAAAACGTGTCACTTCCCCAGCCGGACCACCGGACTGTGGCGGTGGCAGAGTCGCCCACTACCGCCCATTCTATAAAGAAGTCGACGAACCTCTCTTTTCTCTTCAATCCATTTTCGCGCCATATTCACACAACAGTACATCTCGATAAACATCATGAATACCCAACTGGATCGCCCGCACCACCACGAACTAGAGCCTCACGACGTCGGCGTCCTCCACACTGGTAAGAAGTAGGATGATAACCAACCAGAAGCTCTGTTTCTCTTCCAAGTATGGCCTTCTTAGTTGTTTTATCATGGGTTTTTACTTTGTTAGGGGCGGAAGGAAGCACCGGCGAGGAGGAGCATCACCACCACGGCGGGGTGAAATCGGTGCTGAAGAAGGTCAAGCAAAAGGCGAAGAAAGTGAAGGACACTCTGAAAGTACACGGTCATCATGATCACCATAATGTCCCCGACGATCATGATCTCGATGAGGAAGAAGACGACGACGTTGACGAGGAAATGATCCAAGATCCGGCCATCCATGGAGCATCAGGTGCGTATAATCTTCGCTTCCCCCAATTTCGAAAAACCAATTGCTCTTGCCATTAACACGATCCAATTGTTCGGTGGGTTTTTTCTGTATATGAAGCTACAGTAGCGGCGGGTCTCGGAAGCGGGGTGGCCGGGAAGTCGTCAATGCAACCGGATTACTACGACGGCGGTTACTCCGCGGCGGATCCGATGAAGATGACTCCTTTGGAGGCAACAGGGGAAAACAGGGGAGGCCTTTTGGAGGCAGGGGAAAACAGGGGAGGACAGGGGAGGAAGCTTGCTGATATAAAGGAAGAGCCTTTTTCTCCGTTCAATAGTCCCGTTACTATAAGTACTCTTCCAATGAAGACTGAAAATCCCAAAGGTAATGAACCAGCTGCAAGGGCTTTCGTTGCACGGCGAGAGGAGGACAGAGGCCACCCTCAAATCACCATGGATGAAGTAATTACTGGTGGCTTAGAACAGGATCCTCATGCCCCAAAGGGTAGCTCAGGCGCCGCTTCTTCCCCTTCCAATCACCAGACTAAAACCTTAGATCGAACCGACGCCGGTAAGTAAAATCGTAAGGCTTTAAACTTTAAAGCGCGTTTTTAACTACATCAAGAAACTGCACTTGTGCATAGAAGTTTTAAGTTATTAAACTTTAAACCGCGATTTTAACTACGTTGATCCTCAGGAGGTCAGGAAGCGGGGATTCCCTTGACCGTGCTTGAATCGTTGGAGAAAGCTCATATCTCGGACGAAGGAAGGAATGAGGATCATGGTTTACGAAGAAGAACCCGTGATGACGTGGCATCCGCTCTGCCTACCGGAAGCCACAACCAGTTCTCGCCGGAGGGAACTCGTCCGCAGTCGATCAGCAACTTCGAGAGTGCCAAACACGAAGATAAAATGAGCGGCGGGACGGATCACAATCCGAGCAGCTATTCCGACAAAATCTCATCGGCTACGGCCGCGATTGCCGACAAAGCGATCTCCGCCAAAAACGTTGTCGCATCGAAGCTGGGTTACGGCAGCAACACCACAGGGGAGCAGCGCCACCACCAGCCGGACGCTGGAGCAGCTTCCAATTTGGCATCTCCGGTGGAATACGGGAAAAAAGTTGCGGCGACGGTGACTGAGAAGCTGACTCCCGTCTACGAGACGGTCACATCGACGGTGGCCTCGGCGGGGAACACGGTGATGGCCAAAGTTCACGGCGGAGGCGGTGGTGCGAGGGACGTCGTCGTGACGGAATCGGAAGGTGAACGGAAGGGGCAGCAGGACAAGGGGGTTTCGGTGAGGGACTATCTGGTGGAGAAATTGAAGCCGACGGAGGACGACAAGGCGCTTTCCGATGCGATCTCCGAATCACTGCCGTGGCGGCGGAAGGCGGATAATGCTGGTGGAGAAAGCAAGCCGATGGGGAGAGTGACGGAGACGGAGGAAGTGAAGATGCGGCTGGGGGAAACTGCCTACGACGATCGGAGAAGGGAGGCGGCGACGGTGGAGAACAGCTCCGTGAGCGTTCCTGAAGTCGGCGGCGTTGCTGGGAAACTGAAGGGAGCCGTCGAGTCGTGGTTCGGGAAAGGACAGCAACAGCAACAGCAGCAGCATCCACCACCGTCTTTTGGCGATCAGTCCATTGGTTCCACCACTGGTAACTAAAAATCTAGAAGACGACTCGAGATCCTGATGATGCTGAGGGTACTGATGAAGATGCTGATGTAATGTAAACTGGAACAGAGTGAACAAAATCCCAGTCTTAATAAAATAAGTTTTTCAGTTCTTTCCTTTTTTTGTTGTACCAAGAGAAGTAAGCAGCTGATAAATGAGAAAGCTGAGCCTTCAATCTAACATGGTGACAACGAACCAACTGTCATAACACTGAAGCACAGCCTGAAATTGACATTTGTTAGCTGTAGTGAAGTAAGCAATGCACAGCACCTGACAAAAGGGTAAACCAAATATCACACAGGAACACTGAAAACTCCCTGGAAAAGCCACAAACCAGCCTCCTGAGGAAGAACAAACATTGTTTTCTACACTTGGCATTTGTAACACATATAAGTTCAGTTCCTGACGATAACTGTAACTCAGTCTCACTATGATAGCGATCTGACACACAGTTTTAAAACAACTCCAAAACAGCTGGGGAGCACGAGGCTGAGTGATGCAGGGAAGAGAGGCCGAGCAGCTTCAATACTCTTCGGCAGCGCTGGCAGCACTCAAATCCACGCTCAGGTCAAGATTCTGCAGAAAGGAGAACAAACACATGAGAAACTAGATTATGATGAGGTCTGACAGGTTTGACAAAAGTTGACAGAGATAAGAAGTTTGTTTATTACCTTTCCAGTTATCATTGTGTACATGTTAAGGACATCAGTGACGGTCGATTCGAAGTGTGTTGTGGCATCATAACTCTGTTCAAAACAATATGAAATAGACAGCTATTAGGACAAATAGGTAGGGAGGTGAAGAAGCATAAGGTGACCAACTGAACGGGAAGACGATACTCACTGCAGATATGAAACAATTGTCCAGAGATGGCTCGTTGACTGGTTCGTATCTATCGTAGTTCTCGAAGAATATTTCATCAACTGGACCAAGAAGGTCAATCCCTGGCTTCAACTCCACCTGTGGGTTATCTGTCTCAGCCTCAGTTGATACGAAAGCGATGAATTTCCCCTTTGGAGCAACATTGTGGGAGTAAGAGCAGCAGAAAAGGTACCTGCTCAACCAGGCAGAAGAATAGCATAATCAGCCTAGAGTACGAAAAAATAATAAAAAGAAGATTCCTTCGCATGTAATCCTAAAACTATTGGACAGGGAAGCTGATGTTTCCTTTTCACCTACTCACACACCACAACTCTATAACAGTTACTGGTTCAGAAGTAAATTAAATGGAAAAAGATCAGAAGTATATAGCTTACATGTCTGATTTGCGACCCAATTGCTTTTGTGGAAGAATAACCTGCACTGAGTGAGAGTCATTGGTGTTGGGAATTGGGTGGCTCATGATGGCAATTGCCCTGGCAACTTTACCGACCTTCCTAACCTGTTCATATCCACATAGATTTGAGTAAATACTATAGTGGAAATACAAGTCCAAAGCAAAAAAAAAAAAAAAAACATGTCCATACACTCATTAGCCCCGTAGAAATATGTTACCTTTCCTGGCAAGTAGGACGGATCACAAACCACTTTCTTGCACTTAGCAGTTTCTCCTTCTGAGGTGACGCCAACAACTTTGCCTTCACCATCGAACTCTACCTGAAACACCAGCCATCCAGTCACATTTTCCAATGGGAAAAAAGGTACAGGTATCATTTTGATATCTAAGTTTAGGTCACAGAGCCCAACACGTGATTGAGTACCTTGCATTCAGGTTTGTTCAACATATATGTGCCACCATAGACTGCACTCAGCCGTGCAAATGCCTGACATGATATTTTTAGAAAGGTCAGCTCGAGTTACATTGAGAGGTCTTGGCTTCATGCTGTAAGTAAAAGCAAAGCAGCAAAAGAAGGGGAGAGAAGGAAAACAAAAATGAGAGTGACTGGATTAATGTAAACCTGCGGCAACTCTCCCAATCCATACAAGGGGTAAATATAAGGGGATCCGCCTTGAAAACGAGCAAGAGACTCGGCATACAGCTGGAACAAGTGAGGATGTTATCACTTAATGCATAACAAATAAGAAAATATACAAAATAGAACTTAAGTTGAATGACCACCAGAAACCCAGAAAGCTATACCTTCATTCTCTTCACTGTATCTATAGCAGGTTCATTAAGATATCGATCGTCTCTATGCAGCGCCAAGGCATGACCGATGAAGTCTATGGTATTATCATCAAGACCATATTTCCTGGCAACATACCAAACAGCCAATAAGGAAGGAGGACACTAATGTATTTGGCAACATAAGTCGGGATAAGTATCACACTGGAACTAAATGAAAGAAAAGTCCATGGCTCTATTCAAAAACTATTTTCCTCCTCCTACCATAAGTGAAGTTAAAGTATATTCCATAACGTATTACTAAACCTCCAAAGAAAACTAATTTCCTTGTATCCACTTAAAGTTTCAGCTAATTTAGTATGCTTTCATCCTAAAACTAAAAAGGCTTTCAACAATTAGACTACAACTAACAAGCATCAAAAGCAGCATTTACTGGATCATGCAAATGCTTTCTCTCTCTCTCTCTCTCCCACTCTCTCATCAAAGTGAAAGGAACAACATACGCAATCAATTCTTTGGTGGTCACTCTAGTCAAGTCCAGCCCCTCGTGTGTTTTGGGATCAGATTCATTATAATCTTGGACATAAATGAAAAACTTGCGAGCTCGACGCTTTTCAAAGATACCCATCAAGGGAGACTTCAATGCCTCCATGTCAGTTGCTGGCACCTTGTGAACCTATTAGAGCCATTTCAAAAAAAACCTCTTGAGTCATTTCTGTAACCAGAGAGAGAAAAAAAGATGCTCTACTGGCAAACACCATGAAAGATCAGCAATATGATTGTACCTTTTGTTTGTTATAGACAAAGCCACCGTCCACAGCTTTGAAGGACAGATACTTTGTGACATCAGTGTGAATGAGTACTCGTACAAGAACACCATTAGCCATCATAAACTACAACTCCAAAAAGGGACCATCATGGATAAGTTTAAACAGACAATCAAACATCCAGTTAACCAGAAGTGCAGTTATCGGAAGGAAGTAAACCTTAGGGATCATGTCCACATTATAATCCCTACTTGACCCTAAGCTTGCTGGAGGTGCATCAGCTCCCCTGAACCTCTTCCAGAGCTGTTAACAAATAGCATAGTGAATATTTGTTGTGTACAAGGAATTGCAAATAAGAAATCACTCTTGATAAACTAGGACCTGAATAAGGTTAAGGGATGCAGATTCTCCTCCATAATAGTCGTTCCTATCCATATGCAGGACCTGACATGAAGTAAGCACATATAATTAGGCTCGTAGGGAATACGATAAAAACTTGTTGAGTAAATGACACAGAAATTCATCATGCATACAAATACAATAGATCCAGCAAACTCAACACGAACCACTTTTTCTGGTTCAAAACCAACATTTCATGCCAAAACCCAATCCAGTAGCAACAGCAGATGGGACAGAATAAAGCATTCTCTTATTTGGCATAGACTATCCCACAAGCTATCCAATGGCTTTGATTTCCAGAGGAATGCTGAAACAACAAAGTGATTCCGTTTCTCCACTCTAGCAATCAGAAACCTAAGACTGTATAACCAACGAAGCCAATTCTCCAGCAGCTACCCCAGACAGTGTGAATAAGCACATATGCTTATGATCTAGAGCTAAGTGACAAGCAACTCTATAGGGCAACTAATCTGAGCTCCAACACTGCCATTCATCTTCCACCTATATCAATGATTTGGCTGCTAAAATTTAGGGTGCAACCATCCAAATCACACACTAGAACAAGTAACTCTATAAGGTAGCTAATCTGAGCTCCATCCACTGGCATTCATTTTCCACATATACCAATGATTTGGCTGCTAAAAAACTCAGGTTTCAGCCATCCAAATCCCACACTAGCACAGATCAGAGGTGAATTGACTCGGAAGAACTTCAAACAATCAGCTAAAGAGTACAGTTTTGACAAACAAACGAAATTCAGAACCCCTTTAGATTCAAAATCACCCATTCCGATCCAACCCTCAAATTTTACGATCAAATCTTAGATAACCAGTTGGAATCAATAGAAACCCATCCGTATTTTCAACATAAGAAAACCAGTATCGGATGACAACACCTGCTGGTAAACGAACCCATCAAGCAAACAGTAAGCGACTAGACGAAGATGAAGAAGAAAGCGACCTTGAGGCCATCGACGGAGAGAAGCCCACTGAGAATGCATTCTTTGAGACCAGTTCCCAGCACGATCACGTCGTACTCTTCATCCATGATTGCGAGCTGAAAGGCTTGTGAATCGAGATCAAAACAAGTAAACGGGGCAAGGAACTAAAATCCGTTGGATTTTTATTAGGGTTCGGTCAATAAATAGAAAGCACGATGGATGGGGATGACACCGCGAGAAGAGAGTGTGACGAATGGAGAAAAGCTAAAATATTTATTTTATTTTATTAAGAACATAAATGATGAAGGAAGGAAGGTATTAGATGCTTTCATTTCCATTTCTTGGCTGTTAATGCAAAATGATTCTATAAAAAAAATGCAAATTTACCAAATTATTTTATTCCTTAATGATGGTGGAATTTTTTCAATGATCACTAGCTTTAAAATCTTATTGGTTTCGATTTTTTTTTTTTTGGTTAAAGTATTGGTTTTGAAAATTGGATAGTATATAAGTCATATTTGTAGCTCATTGACTCATTGTTTATCTTATTCCCGGTATTTGTGTTTAATTTAGATTGTTTAATGTGAATTGATAAGGAAATGTATCTATTTAACCACATTCACTTATTATTTATGAGCTAGAAAAGTATGTTGTTTGCTCGTAATCATAATATGACTAAACGTTGATAGAAAGATTAATCTTTTTTTAGAAATAGGATGCGAAAGGTTGCTCTAATTTATATTATAAAATGTGCATTTGATCCAAAGCATATGGTAGTTTGTCTAATATCAAAGTCCTTGATCATTAGAATCAATACATGTGATTTAATTTGAATTGCATGTTGTATGTAAAGCAATGAAGTGTATTAATCTAACCATATATACGTAATCACATTGCTGGTCTTATAATCGTGTAACGACACTAACTTTGACATGGGAGTCTAGCCATAATTCAGCAAGGTTTCTTGCACTTGTATCCCACATATATTTAATTACTTACTCGCATGTTGCTTAATCCATAATCATTGATTTCAAATCAAAACTTGACAGACACAATCTTCATACACCAATTTAAAGTACTTCTTGTGTATATATGCAAGAGATTAGCAGGAGTGCAAGACGATATTACTCTGTTCGTCACCAGAATTGAGTCTATTCCCTGAGCTTGCCTGCGGCGAGCATTGATATTATGTATACAATCTCATTATATCATATTGCAGTGTAAATATACTAGAGAATTCACTCTAAAGAAATGTCTCATACTGTATTACTTTCTCTTTTGTTTTCATTTCACCTAGCACATGTTACCATATAAATGTAATGGATCAAAAGTTGTTTGTCTAGTACACCTTACATGATAACGTGCAAGGGGGCACACCGGCACAGATAACATAAACATCGAGCACGGCGCCCTTGATCTTTCGAGACGACTGACATGATCCTGCATTTACCATGCAAATGCTGGCAAGACGTAGGAAGGGTAAGCGTCGTACTTCGACGCAAGGGCTTTCACAGATGATAGATCTGCCACATCGTCAAATGCTCCGAGACCAAGTTCAGAGGCATGAATCCCTCCAGTCACGAAAACTGACTGGATCCCAGCTGCATTGGCTCCCCTGATGTCATGGTGAAGAGAATCCCCTACTGCGATCGATTCGGATGCACAAATTCCAGCCATGTCCATCGCTGACTGGTAAATTATCTGGTCATAAGAGAACGAATGATCGCATTACTATGTACATTCGACGTCGTAAATGAGAAATGGGGGGTTGGGGGGGAAGAGCATGGTGACAAAAAGGTGATGGAATTTGTGACCTTATCTGGCTTTCCCATCCACTTCACTTCTCCTCCAAGCTTCTCATACTTGGCAGCCAATGTACCTGAAGGTAGCATTCAAGGAAAGTCAAATTGCTAAAATCTGTACCATAATGGTTTCATTAGTTAGCTGAACAGCGTATCAAATTGGTAGCAGGGAATCTCTGGTGAACAGGACCTTGATGAAATTTTAGCCTATGAATCCATTAGAGAAGATTGGGAGGAAACCACAAACGAATAAGGGGATAGGAGTTGCCTACCAGGCATCACACGGAGGGCCCTTGCTTCAACAGTTACAAAATCTGGATTTGCTACTACCATTGGTAGTTTTCGAGCAGCACAGTGCTCCAATATTTTCTCAAGCTCCTCGAGAGTTGCAGGAGAAGTGGCTCCAGAAGAACTCCCCAAGGCTTCAGTGCCATGTGCTAAGACAAACTCAGCTTCTTCGGCACTGTCCACAACCTGCAATCCTAGGCCCTGGTTGTAGGCGAGGAGGATTATCATATCAATCCATCAATTATGAACCATAAGCACAACTACTTGAATGTGAATAAACGAATGATCATATTTATCCGAACAATCATAGTTCATAGTGGAAGTTACTTATTGTGAAGATTACATGGGATTAAGGATGTCATGCAAACCTCGAGAGATATGGCTCCACGGTCACTCCAGGTGATATGAATGCATGACTTTCCTAGGGCTGCAAACCAACCATCATCTCTCCTACATGCCATAACATTACAGGTGGATTTCAAGGCAAGGACTAAATACTAGCTCAACAAAAGCAATATGTAGTTGTTTAAGCACTGAAACTGTACAAGAGTCAATCTCAGCAGAGGGCATCAAAGAGAGATCTAGTCGACCAGATACGTATTGGGTTGGAAATAACAACACCGCGTAATAGAAGCCGAATAACAAAAACTCAAGAGCTCAGTCACAAATCATGAACTCATTCGCATTGATCATGATTCATGACTAAGGAGTAATGACCAGCGCTGAACATTTCAAACTAATTGCTTTGACAACCAAAGGGATAAAAACCGATTGGCTTAACTAACCTTTGCAGGTGTTGATATGTCAACTCTCCACTAGTGATGGCTCCAGCAAATAGAGATGTGTCGAATCCCAGTGCCTTCATCTTGTCCATAGTAACCGACGCACGACGTGAGGAGTTGCTTATGATCACCATTTTCGCACCCGTTATTGCCAACTTGTTCACTGCCAATCATACACAGAAATCGGCATCACCAACCCGAGAAAGACAACCATAAGCAGCTGCATTAAATGCTAATGGGAAGACAAAATTCAGATAGACCTCAATAGCTCAAAGGATAAAAGCCATACAAGTAGCAATAGCACCAGGATAAGGCTGTTTCCCGTCGTGAAGAACACCGAATTGATCCAGGAACCATGCCTGCTCAAACAATAGCAACGCCAGGATCAAAATTCATCAAGTACCGTCTAATCGACATAATCAATCGATGCTGCTAGCGATCTACTATCTCCACAAGAAAAGGAAAAGGGCGGGGGAAGACCTCCATTAACTACTGTCGATGAGATTCAAGTAACGTAGAAACTGAACCAGGCAAGTGGATGGAAATCATTTCATGAATGAACCGAAGGTTCCACGAATTGAATCGCGAATTGAACCAGATGGTGTAAATACTCTACAGCCCACATTTCTCCGCATATTCCCAAGAAAAGCATTTCCGCGGGAAAATGTGCTGTGAAATGGGAAAGGGGAAGGGAGGAATCGGAGATGATTGAGTCTCCATGGAAAGAGAAGAGAAAACCTTGTAGCGGCGAGTTTCAGCAAGGTGCTGGAGGCCGTGCAGGACCTGGAAGAGCTGCGCGTCGCCGCCGGGCTTAACGGAAGACGGAGCCGCCATTTCTGCCAAATCCAACTCTTTTTCCGATTGGTGAACTGGGTAGTTATTTGTTAGTTGTTACCCGTCTCTCCCTCGCTGCACCGAATGGACTTGGGCTGGCTTTCAAGTTGGCTGGCGGGGCAAAGGAGCTGAGGCCCATGGAAGCTTTTTGGGCTTCTCTCAAAGCCCAAATGCAAGATGCTTGAATTTTAAACAGAAAATTGCAGAAATTTCAGGGATATAGCATAGGGAAAATCTTATCCAGAAGGCTATCCAATGAACATGGCAGCATCACTCACATCTTACCTTCCCCAATCAACCCACCCAAAAGGAAAACCAGAAGCTCATAAAACCACATGACACGTGTGCATTGTAATCAGACTTGAGAGTGGGTTGAGAGGGAGAAGCGCCTAGCTTTGATGGTGATGATGGTTCGTTCTCTAATGGCGGCAGCAGCACCAAATTCGTCGGCCACTGCCAGCAGCATTAGCAACGGCGCTAATCACAATGCTGCTGCTGCGGCTACTCCACCGCTGCCCTCACAGGTGGTAGTACCTCAGTCGTCCCGCCACAGCTCGATCACTCGTAGGTTCGTTTCGTAATTCGCTTGTAACACCTGCTTCGTATTAATACTAGGACGACCCCAAAGTTCGAATCTAAGATTGATTTTAGCAGGGAGCTTCGATTTCGTGTTATACGTGTTACGGAGTTTGCTAAAAGTCTTTTCAAACAGCATAATGATGATGTTAATTAGCTAGTGACGATTAATGATTGCAATTAGTTGGTGTTGATTGATGGTCCTTGCAGGTCTATGGGCTTGAGTTTGATGGGTGGGCTAGTGGGCCTGAAGTTTGTTTTGCCGGAGGGAGCCGATGCTGCGGCGAGAAGGCCTCCGCCGTCGCCGCCGGCTGAGAAGAAGGACCCGAACATCAGCGGCGTCCAAGCGAAAATATTGGCTAGCAAGAAGAGAAAGGAAGCCATGAAGGATTTGGTGTCAAAGTTGAGAGAGCAAGGAAAAGGCTTAGAATAGAAGAGAGCCTAATTATAACTGGATTTTGTACAACTTCCACAATTTGTTATCGGGTTGTTGAGTTGATGATTACCTAGCTACATATATATAAGAGACTATTGAGTATGCATTTTACAATCGATTCTTTATAGTGCTTGTTACTCTATTACTTTCAAAATATGAAAAAACTTATAACTAGCAATCGGACTTCAATTTGTAGGTTGTGGTCGCGAGACAGATTAATCTAATTCATTTCGAAACTGAACAACGTAGGTCATATCAGATATTTCGTTAAAACAAAAGTGTTCAACCAAATTGATGATTATAGTTGAGAACAACTACGATTCTACGAGTCACGTTGTAATCATAATTAGTCACAACAACAAGTGCCCTTAATAGACAAAAAAAAAAACTATATCATTGTCCGATTGAAGCTAAACTCGTACTAGTGACCTAATAATTTAACTATAAACCATTAATTAAACCAATCTGGCCAAATTTGAACATCTCCCCTGGAAAAGTGAAAACAACCCCTAAAATATTCCATAATTTTGTAAGCTAAATAGCAAGACAACAACTCTATACAAATACAAGCGAAGCGTAGATTAAGACACAGCACAAAGTGATCACATCGATCATTGGACAAAGATTATGGGGAAAACAACATGAATTCTATTTCTTAACAAATTAATTAGGTAATTAAATTGGGTCCATAATTTTGTTTGCAGTCGATCAAGTTGCCAAGAAAAGGACACGTGACGCATATATACGCATGCAATCGAGCCTCAGCATTTTTCCATTTTGAGTCTCATATAATTACAAAGCCTAGAATTTCCAGTTGTATTGCCTCCTAATATATGATTAGTTAATTAATTACCATATTATTAACTCACCACATTCCCTAACTTATTCTCAACTACCACATTGCGGCAGCAAGCACCTGATATAGGCACAACAGGTTGTGGGTGTGGATCATATCGATGTCTAAACTGAAGCATATAACAAGACTATTAAAAGATTAAGTAACTATCCAAGGTATTCAGTTAGATGAATGGTATGATCCGTCTTTACAAATTTCATGATTAATGAGATGGTGTTGTTGCTTGATATTTGAATCGAATAATTCGACGATTGTGTCGATAAAATTATATTGAAAATGTAATTGAGATTACCGTAAAAAAAATGTAATTGAGATTCGAAATTCATGAGAGGAAGATATTTGATTCGTTAGTTAATAAATCTTATATGGCAAACCCTGTTAATAATCCATTATCTTGGTATAACCACATAAGTGATAGACTTGTACCTAACAAAATCTATATATTTTTCTAGTTTCAAATGAATATACGAGGAGATAGAAAATATTTCTTGTTGAACTTGTCTCAATAAATCGAGTTATTGAATCTGATAAATACCACCAAATACATGAAAAGAGACAAATTTTCACATCAAAACCTTCCAATTACATGAGGCCACGAGATTACTAGTTATGGACTTTCTCTATTGCTTCTCATCATGGACGACAAAATCCAAACACATCCATTGTACACATATATAACACACAATTGTCCCCTCCAAACTATCTCATCATCACCACCCCCAAATCCCCCAACCAAAGAAATCTCTCTTCGGGAGGAAGAGAGAGAGACAACGAGATGGAGAAAAACAACTCCCCACCCTACTCTATTCTCCTTCTCGTCCTCTTCTTCTCATCCTCCTCCTTCCTCTCCGTTGCCTCCTCGTCGTCGATTCTAAACGACTCAACGATCTCGAACCACAGGTCGCTGCCCCACCACAGGAAGAAGGGCGGTCACGTCCAGTACGTGACCCACAACGTCCTCCACTACGGTGCCAAGGCCGACGGAGTGTCGGACTCGACGCCAGCCTTCTCTCAGGCTTGGGAGGAGGCCTGCAAGTCGTCGAGGCCTGCCTCCGTACACGTGCCCAAAGGTACCTACATGTTGAAGCCCATCGTGTTTTACGGGCCGTGTCAGAGCAAGATGTTGTTCCACGTCGAGGGCAAAGTGGTTGGGCCCAAGCATTACTGGGAGTTCGGGAAGTCGGGGTTCTGGATCCTGTTCTACAAGCTCGAGAAGCTCACCATCCTCGGTGGGACCTACGATGCTCAAGGGTCGGATTACTGGGCCTGCCGAAAGAGCCAAAGCCAGTGCAGTCAAGGAACTAAGGTATGTTGTTAACACGTTTTTTCTTCTAATTTCTAATACGATTTCACAAATACGAATATGAATTCGCTGGTTGGGCCAAAAAAAATGTTACTATCGAGTTTCAAATACGTACGGCATGCATCCTTCTATTAAACTAATTGAACTCGTTGAAGTTCCCATCCTAAAATCCAAGGTGGTTTTTCTTTGTTGTTGCAGTCCATAACAATCATACAATCGCGAAACGTCGTCGTAAAGGGGATCAAGTCGCTGAACCCGCAGATGTTCCACCTGGCGATAGACCACTGCCACCAGGTCCTGCTGAAGAAGCTCTACATCGAGGCTCCGACCCGGAGCCCGAACACCGACGGGATCCACATCATGTCGTCGGAAGGGATCACCATCGCCGGAGCGGTCATCAAGACCGGCGACGACTGCATCGCGATTGGGCCCGGGACCAAGAACGTGCACATCCGCGGGGTCCATTGTGGGCCGGGCCATGGGATCAGCATCGGGAGCCTTGGGCTGCATACCCACGAGGCCGGCGTGGAGAACGTGTTCGTGACGGACTCGGTCATGACCCGGACCCAGAATGGGCTCCGGATCAAGTCGTGGGGCCGGAAGACCACCAGCTTCGTCAGGAACGTGGTCTTTGAGAACATCGCCATGGAGAATTCGTATAACCCCATCATCATCGATCAGAATTACTGCCCATATAACAAGAACTGCCCTGGAATGGTAATTACTTAAATCTCATTCAGCTTAATTAATTCGTGCGATTTAATTTGTCACGATTTGTGTGGAATGAACATTTTTCGCCCCAAATGAATTTTGAAACTCTATCAACTATTTAGATTTAATTATCCATTCGACTTATATTACTCATTCATTTATGAAGTGTTTTCCCTATCTGTTCATATAAAAAATGTTAAATATATCAATATTACGTTTTCAAATAACATATAAGAATGAGTTGCCGTTCAACTGTGTGGGCATTACTCGATATGACTTGCGCTTAGTGCAAGACAGATATGAGTATTGAGATGTCCGCCCCCCATCACGTCCTATTGCCATCACTACTTGCGGGTTATGTGATTTACGAATAAAGTCTCGTATTCGAATTCTAACGGCGGCGTATCTGGATGTCTATAGGGTTCCGGCGTGAAGATCACGGGAGTAACGTACAGGAACATCCATGGCACGTCGGCGTCCCCGATCGCGGTGAAGTTCATGTGCAGCGCTAGCCGGCCGTGCACGGGTCTCCAGCTGCACAACGTGAAGCTGACGTACCACAAAGCAATCGCGTCGTCGGTCTGCACACATGCCGGCGGTGGCGTGAGCGGCGTCGTCAGCCCTAGGAGCTGCTTCAGGAAGTGATGACAGGTTGATGACTACGTAACGCAGAACGTAGTGACACGTGGATACACTTCCATAATTTTTTTAGTTTTATTTAATTGTTCTGTCATAATTTTGCTACCACTATTATTATTGCTTCTCAATTAAGGTTTTTTTTTTTTTTTTTGTAAACTTAAGAGATCGTTTAAATTTACCGCTGTTCTAATTAAATTTCTTGTTATTTTGGACGACGATATTTTATTTGTGAATTGTTCTTTTGAATGGAGGACTTGTGAATTGATACTAAGTATCACTTTAGTCCCTTTTCTTTCGATTAGATTACTTAAAATACGAGAAATTATTCAATATCAAATACACAATCGAGTATCGACCCATTTCTTTTGAGTCAAAAAAAATTCCCTTTCATTTCTTCATTTTTATTTCCTTTTCTTTTGTGGTGTAGAAGAGCCCTAATGGTGACACCTGGAATGGACCCAGAACCCAAATTGAATGGACTGGCCACATTTAAGCAGCCAGGAGGCTTCATAGTTCATATACGGCCCAATGGATTCGGCTTTTGATATTCGGCTAAATAATTGGAGTTTGGCGATGTCCTCTTCATCAGCCCATTGGCGATAACAACCAACGAAGGCCAACTATAAGCTCCATCTTCGCTTTCACAACCCTCCATCCTTTCATGGTAAAGAACCCTAGCTACCCGGGTCGAGCTCAAATCGAACATTCGAATACGCAATACGAAACGGTCAAGTCCACATATCAAAAACTCTGTCATCGATAACATGTTAACTACGTCTTGAATATACATACTTTCAAGTTTCAATCAACTACTACGTTGTAATACTAGAATTGATGATATATATGCAGTTTTGTGTCGCTCTAACGCGTAACACATTATTCAATTACGAAAACCTTAAACTCATTTTTAATACTCCAGAAAACAGGATGATATAGTTTTGAGCATTTCTACTATGCTATATAGTATTGGTGCTTTAATGTACAACTTAAAGTTGTACCATACATGAAATGTATAAGTTTAGATTGTACCATAAAAGAATTTGCATCATTATGTTATGGTACAACTTTACAACTTGAAGTTGTACCATCACATAAAGGTACAAGTTCAAGTTGTACCATAAAAGAATTTGTACAAAAAGTATAGGTACAATCTGAAATTGTACCATAACATAAATGTATAATTTTAAGTTGTACCATAAAAACAAAAACCTATAGCACCAATACTATATAGCATTGTAAAATTCCTCTATAGTTTTTGTTTTAAGAAATGCACAAGTAGTGACGAAGAAGAACACACACGAGGAGGTGGGCCACGTAGGCGCGTTTCTTGTTTGCAGCTTAGCTAATACCAAAAGCCAAATTATTAACTAAGGCAATAAGTCGGCCACAATATATAATATATAAATGGGTCTTTTATTGATTAAACAATTTGAGGGGGGGGGGGGGGGAAGGCAGAGAGAGCAAATTAAGGGTTCGATTTGTAATTATCACGCAAGATGAAAAGAATAGTAAAGAAAGAGGGAAGACTCCTTTGGAAGAAGAAGAAGAAGAAAACTGGAGGATTGATTAGGGTGATTAAGATATTACATTATTAATAATAATATATAAGACACATGTAACTTATTTCAAATTGGACCAACCAAAGTTGTTCACTTGTGACTAAATGATTGTGAGAGGATCATATTTATGATGCATAAGAGACCCATCGCTCAAGAGTGATGAATTGACTCTCGAATCACGTTTTTCTCTATATCTTTTGGTATGCATGAATTGCCAGACATTCATCTCCTATTCTTCGCTCCATCATGATAGAAGACAACATAAACATCTCGTTGATACACCTCATGCTTTTTCATTTTTTTCTTAGATCTCACTCTTTTATTTTTGTTTTTTCTTGATGTTGTGTATCGCCTCACTATGAATGAGAAAATACGTGGATTATCTAAATTATATAGCACAACCATACACTTAATTCTCTTACAATTTTTAACAACTCAAACAATGGGTTTATTTTTTATTTTTTGTTGGACCCGTTGAATAATAAATTCATCAATATTGCTTTTCAGGATGCATTACTATATATATATATTATGCTTAGGTATAATGAAATGAAATTCCAGACATGCTACTTTGTTTATTGTTTGTGTGATAGCATTGTCACGCTAATGACAAACAATTACGAAAAAAATAATGATGAGAATTAAAGAAAAAATGAGAAGGCGGTCATGAATATTACATTCACAATAATTAATTATTTTTTTGTGTTCTGTCGTTTTGTGGGCCGTGCAACATGGCAACATGGACTTTTTGCTGCCGTTTTGAAAACGGCAAAAGGGGCCAAAGGAAGGAAAGGAGGAAAGAAAGGGAGATTTCAAAGAGCAATATGTAACATGGACCCCCAACATGAAGTCACTTGTATGAAAATATCGAATTGGACAAACTTATAATATCACAAATTCTCAACAATTATTTATCGGTAAAAACAAAAATTAAAAAAGAATGAGAACGATCTTATATGTATATTCGTTCAAACGAAAAATATAAAGATATGAAAATTATATAAGTTAATTATTTCAAAGATTGCATAGGTTCATTATCTCATGTGCATCAACTTGTAGTTAGTAATTTAGTATTGGACCTAAAGATTGGGTACGTCCATTACTCCTTGTGCATCAACCAAAGATTGGTATGGAGGGTTATTTAGGATTCATGCACATAACCTTTTTGTTTAAAGACTATAATAATAATACCATGTTTGTGATTGGTTCATTTCATACCTCAAGTTGTAATAAGCAATTGTCATTATTATCAATATTTACAAATTACATGTACTCATACCTTGTTGATAGCAGAATACATATCGATAGATACTATCAATCGACTCTCCACGTAGTTACACATGTTGCATCGAAAGATACCTTGTTGATAATTCGTAAATAATATCACTACTATGGATCCAACAACTCAAATCTCGGTAGGGTGAATCCAATGATGCAGCATTTGCTATTATTAACCCAACCCAACAATGGCCATCCTCTCTTCTTCTAGAACAGTGATTCAACTTGTATACTTCTGTAGTAAAAATATATATATATAATCAATGCCATGCGTGACTCCACAAAGAACACTGTTTATTTGACTTGCTCCCATCAATTTTAACTTGGAAAGAAAATGGGGGGAAGGTAGGAAAGAAAAGTGAAACATGAAAGCTGTGATGTGATGAATTATAAAATTTATAAACATTTAAGCAAGGTTCATGCATGGAGGAGATGAAGAGAACAAGAAGGCCAGTTAAGTTGCAGCAGAACAAGAATGGTGTGTTTCGAAATTCGGAGTTTTTAGATTCGAAATTTGATATTATAATTGGGATTTAAAAGAGTGCGTCTAAGCGCAGGCAAAGCTAAAACGTAGTGCTTATATGTTTCATGACAAATTAGGTATCCAGAACGCGATGGCATGATGTTATTTAGGCGTAATTAAACGGAACTAGACACTCAATAATATTCATAGGAGAAATTAAGTACGATTTAGTGCAAGTTGGGATGGGTAAAAAATTGATGGATTTGGTTTGGTGGGCTTCCCCTCGTACAATCTCGACATCAGAGGCCACATAACATAACTACGAGAGAGGACATGGGCCATTGTACCATCATTGGCATCTTTCTCTTGAACTAGAAGCCAGCCACCGAAACCCTGCAGTTTGGAACCATTTTATTATAAACGGCGAATACATGTAATATGTATCTATAAGGGTGATTTGAAAGTTGGGAGTGTATGAATATGTGTATTCTTACGATGTATGTATTCTAAGTGTAGTGATTGTAAGAAATAGATGATTGTAAGAATATGTTGTTTGTTAGTTATGATTCTCACTTTTAAAGAATATAAGGATTCTCACTTTAATGACCAAAAAGACTTATATAACCTTGAAGTTCTCTTTATATAGTCAATTAAAGAAGGGGCAAATATGAAATATATAAAAAAATAAGGATAAGAGGTGCAAAAAAGCAATTACAAAAGTAAAGCAAGTGAATCTCACCTTTTTGTAGAGATTTTAAAATGAATGATTCTAGCCATTTGAGATTCTAAGTACCAATCAAATGCATGCATTCTGGATAAGTTTATGTCAAAAGAAGGATAGATTGTAAAGAATACACACATTCACAAAATCACTCATTTAAGAGTTCGTTTGGAAGTTGCGATTGTTTGGTTGAGATTGTCATTATGCATACATTGTTTACAATGCTTTGTTTTTTTGTTTTTTTAGCAGAAACAATACATGGATTGTTTCTGTGATGTGACAGAAACTATCACTCATTTTGAGTGATTGTTATATCTCAACTTTTAGTTGTGATTGTTGAGATAGTTGAGTTGATATTGTTTTGTCTTAGCTTTTAGCTGATGCGACATACATAATCACACATACCAAACGTTGTATTCTACAACGCATCAAATTCGACAATACATGTATAATATTATACATGCATTCTCAACAATACATCTATTTAACAATCGCAACTTCCAAACGACCCCTTAAACTCCTAACTTCCAAACGACCACAATATTGTACTGTAGAATGCATTATACATTTATTAAATATAAATTTTATGTGAGAAATTATATAAGATAAGTTTATTTCATGTATGATTATGTATATTAAATTTATTTTTACTATCTGACCCATAATCTCAATATACACATTAACATATTTACATTGCTTCTTAAATCAAAGGCTCCAAATTGATCATCCCTTATATTCAATGAAATGTTTGACTATATCGGACCCATTACATAATTCACTTTGAACTAACACAAGACAATTTCCGACTCTCGTTTATTCTCTATACTTATAGCTAATTAGAAGGAATATGTATGCTATCTTTTATAAATGTTTATTACTTCATATGAAGTGACATGAAGTGGTGGATCGAGTTAGGTAGAAGGTAGAATGGGTTGTAGACTCCCCAATACTTTGAAATATATAGTAAGTACAAGTAAATTATGTGCAATTTTACGAATTAAAATAGTCAATAAGGTTTTAGTCCTCCTCCCCTAGTTACCACATTTCAAGTCCACTATCTTTGTTTAGATTTCTGATTTCGTCACTGACAACACGTTAATTAAACATGAAGGACATGAATATTTGATGATTCTTATTATGTTACTCCCCCTAAACTTCTAACACAAGTTGGGCAATCGATTTGTGAGTGTTTGGAGATTGTAGAAATGTGTTTTTTTTTCCCTATCTACTTTCACAATAGAAGCAAAACCACATACACACCCACTTTTGCTGGGTTCCTCAATAATTACTTGTGGATGTTGCATATGAATGTGCAATGGCGGACCTAACAAGCTTGCCTTCTCTATTATATAGGACCCAAAAGAACAACAGTTTTTTTTATACTTTCCATTCCATTTATATCCGGCTTTAATTCAAGTAAAGATTACAAATTTCTCATATAATTGAAAATTTAGAGGTGGAATTCTATGGTTTTGTAGTGAGGAAGTGAGATAATGGGAGATGAGATGAACAAGTTGGTGCATGAAGCTGTAAATTAGAACTATTTTCTTGTCGCAAATAATGAGTGTAAATAAATTTCCAAATCATATCGAATAAAGATAAAATCAGAATGTGTAAGTCAATATTCATAATTACTCAGGTCAATGTTAAAAAAAATTTATAATATTTTGGCACGAGACAGAGTAAGCGTCTCATTTATTTATTTGAATGAAAAATATAATTTAATTAGTCGAAGATACAACAAAGGAAAAAAAGTATTTGTAGATTAAAATGAAAATGCAATCAAGATTATAGTCTAAATGGTAATATATATGTTGGACTCACTCAATAAATATCTCGGATTCAAATCTATCATTGCACAAACATTTGTTTGAAGAAATCTTTTCGCCACTGATATGAAAAAATCATATTATTGTATAAATAAAGACTCATACTTAGTGATAAACTGCATACTTACAAAGGGTTAAATGGTTAGGTTTAATATAATTTCATTTCAATTAGAATGTGTACATTTTTAGCTCCATTATCATTGTTATTTAATTCCAAATTCCGATTAGTTTAAATTTATGATCCTAAATCACTATCTTGTATTAATGTTTGTAATTTACCTCCCACAAGGCCACAACCACAAGACAAATATTGGGTGGGAAAAACGGAGAAAACAACTACATACCAAACTCTTTCTCCATCTAGCTCTCGCTTTCATGATCTCAGCAAAAGAGCAAGACACAATTTTAGTTAACTCTAAACCTTAAAAATTATAATAATTTACACTATATATATTTTTATCTACAATTATAAAAGAAGAAAATGTTAGAAGTATTATTTTCAAAATCGTTTTTCATATCTATGTTGGGGCTGTTATTGGTATTTTAAATAATGCATCTACGTTGTTTTGATAGTTTAAGTTAGTTATGATAATAATTTTTTTTCCAATATTTTCAAAGCAATAATCAACTTAGAATGAAAAGTATCAAAACGATCAACAAAATTTAGATTGAGATGTTAGACTGTCAAGACTAATGACTATACAATCTTTCTCTTTTATAAATATTTCTTTAGTAGGATTCTTTTGCATGCTCTCGCTCCATATAATGATTTCAATAACGATATAACAAATTGATACGTTTCCATAAAAGAATATAGATAGTCAATTTAATAATAGATATTTGAATAACTTTTCTCACTGAGTGATTCATAAAAGTAAAGAATTTAAATAATAATATAAAAAGTCATAAGTTCAATTAAAAGGTTACCAAAAACCAAAAGAATAAGTTAACACTAAATATAATTTATTGTTTTTTGGTAACTTTTTCTAATATTTTATATTTTGAAGGTTTGACTAATAATTTAAAAATTTTGAATTTTTTTGTTAACAAATTGTATTTACTATTCTATTAATAATGTCATGCCACAATCTTTATTTTTCGATATTTTGAACAAGAGAACTTTTATGATACTTATAAGAACCAATTTTTTTAGATTTAAGTTAAATTTATAATATAAAATTATAGTTATATGTTGAATTTGCATAAAAAAAGTTCATACATAAATATATAGGTATAAATGAAATTTGTACGATAAAATTAAATTTTCACATAATTGTTTTCTTAAACGACAGGAGATAGGTTGATGAGTTATGAACTCATAAGTCATGACTCATTGAATAAACCTTACAAGAAAAACGAAAAATAATAAGAGAAAAACATTTACAAAAGAAAGAGAAAGAGAGGAACTTGATGCCCTTTTTGATGTGTGAGTGGGTGGTGGTCTTTCTTCCTTCTTAGTTTTTCTCCTCTCTCTCTCTCCCTTCCTCTCTCATAAAGTTTCATCTCTGTGAATTTCTTTTTCCTCCCTTTCCCCAAATCCATCCCCCTTCTTTCATTTGCCGTTCTTCTGCGTTCTTCCTTCCCTTGCAGTAGACAGAAAAAAACAGCTCCTTATTATCATCACAGATGATCCAATGAAGGAGGTAACTGCTTTAGTTTGTTGTTTATGGGGTGGAACTGCTCAAGGAGACTGCTTCTTCTTCCCAAGAATGAATCTTTCTGTTTGTTTGGGTTTTGATTTCTGTCCTTACTTCCCTTCACTTGTTTGACTGTTAACTTTGCTCTTCGATTTGCTCTGATTGACTAGTGTAGGATTTTGGGAGAAGGGCTTAGAATGATTTCTCTTCTTCTTCATCTCTCTCTAATGTTATTTGCTTTGATTTCTCACTGTAAGTTAACAATCCGTTGTTTTCTGTCCTCACTATTGTTCTGCTTGGCCACTTCATTCATCGATTCCTCTGTTCTTTCACCCCCTTGTGTTGATTTGTGGATGCATCTAATATGCTCACATAAAATAACACCCCTCCAATACTTGCTTCTGCTAATCTCAGTCTTGTCCCTTATCTCTTACCTGCTGCTTTGCTTCATTTTTCATCACATAAAATAACCCATCTCCCAACTATCTCTATCACTTCGAATCAGTTGTTTATGGTTGTATCCTATGTTTGAATCGATCTTTGTTTTGATGACTCTCTTGTTGTGTGCAGGCTGATGAATTGGTTGAAGTTAAAGTTTCATCCTTTATTGATCTTCCAGATGCATACATCATCTAGCAAGAAGAAGTAGCTGCTGCTGCTAGCTAGAGCTCCTTTTTGTGTTCAAACTTAGCCTCTTTTTTGCTGTGTGTGGGCTTGGGTCCCCTCCTGTGGTAGAGAAGAGGAGTACTTTGTTTGGTTGGTAGTGGTGGTGGTGGGGTTTTGGTTTGATGGGGGAGTGAATGAATCAAAACTGCTAATAATCAAATTAGTACAGTTTCTAGACCAAAGTTTGAAAAGAAAAAAGAAGAGTAGATTAGAGAGAGATAAGTAAGCAGAGGAGTAGGGCTTCTTTTGAGTTTATGTACATGCTGAAGTTAAAGATAAGGAGGCCTAAGAGTAGCAGCTGCAACAGAAGCTGCAATAAGGCGAAGGAGATAAAAAAGAAGAAGAAGCTGTTGCTTGTGACTACTGTTGTTGTGGCAACAGCAGCAGCACAAGAAGAGAGAAGGTTAGCATCAGATGTTATCATCCATTGATCAAAACCTGCTTCCACCACCAGATCCCTCATCACCTCATGTTCTTCCCTCCCAATTCTCTAATTCTTCTTCTCCTTCTCCCTCTTCTACTTCTTCTTCTCCTTCCTCAAAGCCTTCACTGCCTCAGCTGCAGCAGCCGGTCCCGTCGACTGAGGTCGAGTTAGAGGCAGATCTACCAAATCCACTTCATAGTTTCTCCATAAGGTAAAAAATTTGTTATCTTTTTTAAATTTTCCATAATATTTTCTTGGTCTTTGTTTTAGATTTTTGCTGGAGGATGAACAGTACCAATAGATTTTTTTTTCCTTCTTGCCTCCCCATCCTCTAATCTTCTTTTTGGTTGGCTGCCATACAGCTTCTTCTTTCCTTTCCTCTGTTATTATTATAATTTTTATCTTATGGTGAATTTGTTGAGACTCAGATCCAGAGGGTTACACTCTATGCTTACTTTGTGGCTCTGCCAGACATACCATGGGGCCTGTTCCATGACATATACCACCTCTAGTTTGGTCCTCTAGTATTTCTTGTTTTTCTTTCTACTACTATTATTGTTACTACTAATCTTCAATTCTGGCCAATGATAGCTTTTGCTATTTTGGTAAGAGTTTCAACTTTCATGGCTTCCTTTGAAGTTCCCCAAACCATTCTGCTTCTTCTTACTTCCTAATTGGATGTTGTAGTAGTTACTTTTTCTCCTTCCAATATTTTTGTATGCCCTTATGTTTTTGGTTCATTGACAAAGCTGTAGGCTCATGATTTCATGTCACCTTCTCTTACTTCTTGGTTGCAGAGATTATGTGTTCACAGCACGAAGCAAGGACATCAAAACTAACTGGCCATTTTCATCGAAGAACCTACAGCTTTGTTTGAACCATGGCTTGACAGAAGTTTTGCCACCATTTCAGCCTCTGGATACCATAAGGAATCTCCAAAGTTTCGGTAGTTCACACACGGTTAAAGAACCACCCATTACTACCATCTTTGACAAAGTTAATTCAAGCAAATTTGATATTAAGAAGAATGACGGGTTCCTAGAGCCATCATCTGACGATACAGATATTGTTGTGAAGTTGACAGAGAAAAAAGTAGATACAATAAGTTCATGTAGACATGTTGAAGAAGATGGTAACTCATTCCCATCCTTGACAACAACTACTACGACTAGTGACGGAGAATCACTTCCCAAAGCATCATTGAAAGCCTCGAAGAAGTGCAGGCTGGTAGTGAAATTTGGAGATCGTGGTGTCTCAGCAGAAAACATTGCTTCAACTACTACTACTGTTACGCCTATAGTGTCAGAATCATCATTAATGATGGCTTCAAAAGTCTGCCCGGTGTGTAAGACTTTCTCTTCCTCGTCAAACACTACGCTAAATGCTCACATCGATCAGTGCCTCTCTGTGGAGTCTTCTTCAGCACCGCCCAAATGGACAGCAGATGATGATGATGATCACTCGAAGGTGGCAAAGCATCATAATAAGGTGAAGCCGAGAAGGACAAGGTTGATGGTTGATATATACAAGACGGCTCCTCGTTGCACGCTGGAGGAGCTCGACCGGCGAAATGGGAGGCTTTCAAGCTTGGCAATGGAGGAGATTGATGAGGATGAGACAACTTGTTCGGAAGAAAAAAGTGAAAGGTTAAAACCAGTTCAAGCTAAGAAAAGTCATGGTGACGTTGGACCCGTTTATATTGACGAGAGTGGGACCAAGGTGAGGATTTTGTCGTCCAATTTTGATGAGGTTTCTCCAGTGGCGGCGAGAAGAGTGGGGGAGACTGGGGGTGGAATGAATAAGAAGAACAAGAAGAAGGAATGTTTGAGAGGAAGTAAAAACATGGTGGCTTTGAAGAAGAGGAAGAGTCTTATACGTAAGCATAAGAAGTATCTGAAGCTTGCAGCTCAAAGCAAGAAGCTTTTCTCTGATAAAACGACTCATTCTTCCCAGGTATGTATGTTTTTTCAGCATCCAGATATCATTGGATGGTATAATTTAGCTTAGATACATATGTTTAAAAGCTCCATTTAGAACAAAGGGGGTTCTTTGTGGGTCATGGGTTAAGATTTGTAGATTATCGAGAATACATAGTTGTTGATATTCCGGACTGCATACTTGTTGCAAAATAAATAAGATTCAGTTGTGTTTCTTTTCATTGTTTCTGCAGATTCAATAGGATTATTATTTAAGCCATATTCGTTTTGAATTTATGCTGATGAAACAGATTCGTGAAAACCATGAGCAGCCTGCCAACCTGAGAACATTTTCTGATCAGGAGCTTCATGCCTCTCAACAACAAATCCCACCTGGTAATAATTCCGGGAACCTAAGACCATGGGTTTGTTCTAAACCCAGAGGTACTCCGACAAAAATTAACAACCACCACCAAGAGGATCACCAGCCACAGCAACCTCCCATAAGAAGTCATTGGCACTCTCCTCTTGCGGAATCTGATGACCAGTCATTTCCTGTTGGTGATTCTAGTGAAGAGAGCACAGGTATTCAGAAGTTCACAAATCTTTCCGAGAATCTGGCTTTTTGTCACGAGAGGATTGAGAAGAACAAAGTCCAGCAGGTAGTTAGCATCAAAAGGAAACGTGGAAGACCCTTGTCTCGGAGGCCTGTCATTACTGGAGACGAAGATGTGGGTAAGTATTTTGGTTCAATGAAGCAGAAGTTTGTTGAGTCGAATAGAGATGACCATTGTGATCGTTCGTTGAAGCCTCCGAATGCTTGCAAGAATAAGGTGACTGAGTCATTGGATAAACTGCCCAGCGTTCATTCTGTTGTTGAGGCAAGAAAGAAGAAGATTAAGAAAGGGTCCAACTTAAAGGAGCCTCAGGTGCATTTGCTCGATGAAAGACGAGATACGTTGTCAGGAGGCAATTGTGATATGGATCAACAATATGATTTGATGCATGATCATAGAGAGTATCAACTTGAGAGTGATGTAGTAACAGAAGAATTGGCTTGTGGTGATGGTAATGCTAGGACCGAATCCAGGCAGATTGAAGGGATGATGATATGTAGTAACTTGCTAGGGAAGGAACAATTGGGTCTGATAAACTTGGATTCTGTATCTCCTGGTTTGGACTCGACTAGAGAACTGGTTCATGGAGATGATATTGTCGATGAATCCCTGTCCAAGACTACAGAAGGAATGCATGGTCGTGCTAGTTTGAGTAAGTCCATTGACACTGTACTTTATTCGGTGAAGGATGCTTCAAAGCTATCTATGGAAGATTACAGGGGGTTTCTAAGTGGGTCTGAAGCCCCAACTGATTCTGCTGAGCCAGATTTTGTGAATGAACACGAAATGGCTACCGAAATGGACGCAGAAATCGATTCTGGAGAAGCTGAAAATGGAATGGACTCCTTTCCTGAACTCGATCCAATTCCTATCCCAGGCCCCCCAGGCTCGTTCTTGCCAAGCCCAAGGGACATGGGAGATGATTTTCAAGGGAACTCATCAGTGACCACCACCAGCCGAGCTCAGTCGTCTCTTGATATTGGTAATGTTGTCGATAAAGATTCTTCCGAATCTCCCATTTCTGCTGCCTCAAGCATCTCCAACTCTACTACTACAGCACAGAATGGGTGTGGGCTTGATTTTGTTGAAAGCAAGAGATCATTAGGATCAACGGCTGTTACACGTATTGACATCGAGCCTCACGTGCAAAATGGAGACATACTTCCAGTGAGCAAGCCGTGCATTGAAAAAGATATAAATACGAGACTTGATAGAAATCATCTCGATAAGGGATCATTCACTGTGACAAATCCTGATAATCATCAGCCATGTTGCTGTCAAAGGAAAGAGAGAGTGCCACTTGCTCCAGCCAGCATTGTGCTGAACCAGCATGATTCTTCTTTGTTGCTTCGGAGACGAAAAACGGCTGCTGCTTCAATGACGATAGATCATCCTAGTGGTAAACTAAAGGGCTGCAGCAGTACATCCATCCCCAGGTCGTCAAGTACATTTGACACGAGAACTGAATATGCTCCTCCTAGCACTTGTCCTACTTCAGGTGCTGATGCTGTGGGTTTCCAGGTCATTAAACCTCATTTGGTTCCCTCGATGGACTACGAATCGAGTAGTCCGTCGACTCCCAATCCAGTGCTGAGGTTGATGGGGAAGAACTTGATGGTTGCCAGTAAGGACGATGAAGCACCCAAGCCTCCATATTTGCAGCAGCAGCTGACAACATCATCTCATCCTCAGAATCACTATTCAGCTGATCCTCAATTCCCAACGTTCTCCACAATTGGAAATGTCCGGAATCATGAGCCTCGTTTATTGCACCAGATGGTTCCTCCTCATCCCCATTCGTCGGCAGTTTTCCCTAGAAATCTGCATGGTCATCATGTGAGTCCTTACTCGAATGTTGCGTTGACCAATGCTGCAGCGGTTTATCTGCCTAATGGCATGTTTCATAACTATTCTCCACAATGCAATCCACTAGCGACGAATGCATACTCGTCACCATCTCCCCACTGCACAAAAGAGGTTATCATCATCGATGATGATCCTGAAAGGGTGCATCCCGCGATGACCAATAAGCTTATTATGAAATATGGTGAAGGCTATAGTATTAGAGAAACTAATAACCATGTCATCCCATCAGGCAGCATGTACCTGCCAGGAGGAATGCAGAGTAATTATAGCCCGAATCACATGCACTCTATCGCTTGCTATCCTCCGTCTCAAGAACACCATCATACATCTCCCATGGGCGAATCATCATCACCTATCGTACGTGCTAACAGGTTTCATTTGACAACCCCAAGTAACATTCGGTATTCAGCAGACAGTTCTCGAATGCTCCATCAGAGTCCATTGCAGGCTGCTGCTACTGCTGCACCACCACCACCACCACCACCATCTTCTGACAGTGTGCTGCGATCCTCATCAGCGATGTACTATTCTCCAAGCTTCTCGTAGCAAAATGCCATGTTGATGATGATCATAAAGCTTTATCTTACTGCACCAGGTTTGCACTCATGAAACTTGATCTGTCATGTTACTTTTGCACAGTAGAAATCGAATGTTTGTCGCGAGAGAGTTATTGCAGATGAAGTAACGATCAGAACCGAGATCGAAAAGAAAGGTTCGGTTTGGTTGTATCGTTCTGATGTATTGAGAAATGGGGAAGAGAGACAGACAAACATAATTTTATGTAGCTTGGGGAGGATAGATGAAGAGAGAGAGGTACCAGTTTCTTTTTTTTTTTACCTGTGTCAAAAACCCTCAGAAGCCCTTTCTTCTACAAGTTGACTGGACTGGACAATCAAATGTATAAGGATCATAAAAGTGAAAGAAGAAAGAAACCCATGAATAATATACAAGCAGCTTTTGACCCCCCTCTGCAGCAAGGAACCTTTGGCTCCTCCCTAGAGCCAGTAAAATTTACACTTTTACTGTTTTACCTATTTCTGTTTGTGATGTCATATTTCATGCACTTTCTTCTACTTTTCCATTTATTCTTTAATCACATTGAGCAGCTGTGTTGATGGTGATGCAACAGTGGTGTGCTTTCATGCTGATAGTCATTACCACACGCTATCACTTATGTCTGATATTTGCTGTATGCTTCAAAATGCGTGGATTATACGTCTGAGTTACTCTTATAAGAAAGAGAATTCATTGCCATCGATTACTTAACCCAAACTAGGCCAAGCAGTTAGGGCTAACTTCTTCATTCAGCTTGAGTGACATTTTTCGCTTATTGGATATTGCATGATCTTCATGCAAGAGGGTTTTCTCGCAATATTGTAATGCATTATTGTGTTGGTTGACACACCCATTTTGTTTTCAAACGAATATATTATGTTACGATATACCTTTCGAAATTGAAGTACTATGAATCTATGATAAGAGGGAGATCAATGCATTATTGGATGGAAGAAGTAGGCTAGAGGTTGGCAAAATGAATTAATGCCTCCATTAATGGCTTTGACATCGACCCTCTAAAGACTGAGGTGATATAGTTCTCATGGTTGTCCTTGATACTGGCATAGAGAGAGTTTTGTTGTATATAGTTCCATTCAACAAGATAAAATGGGTTTAATCTTGTGGTATATTTCTAATGCTCTATGTAGCGAGATTCACGAATTGTTATTCATCGTAATAAATGGAATATCGAGATTTATAAAACGGCATTCTGGGAAATCCACTTTGTTTATTCCTTGTCCGTAGTGGTGGGAGGGGGGAGAAGTCGCTTTCCTTAGGGGATGGAATTCAACTTCAAAGGACACAGAGAAAGACATTGCATACATATGATAATAGAAGTAGTGCAGAAGCAAGGTGGCTGCTTTCCTCACAGTACATGTTTTAGGGTTTTGGAGGGGTACAGAGAAAAGATGGGTTGATGTCGACCTTTTGCCTTTGCTTTGCTGGTGCTAGCCTGGTCTTCTCTGGCTACTTCTTTGGCATGGAGTTGGTGCCGTGTTGAAATTGTTACAACTAATATAAAGTAGGCTCAAAGGGAATCCTCTAGATGAACTAGTAAGTTGATATTTTAGAAGGAATGAATTTCTTAAAGCTGGATTGCATAACTTTGGTGTTTGGATGATCAGTGTATTAAAACGTCCGAGTGTCATGTCACTGATGGAATCCAAATTAAATGAAGCTAGTAGATCTCTCATTATGAGAAGAGGTTTTTGAACTCGTAGAGAAGAGTCTACATAGTATTGAATTTGAGAGACAAGCATAACATTGAGTTAGATTAGAATTCCGCGTCTTATCACTCTACCCATGACGATTGGATATTAACCATGCATCCTGAATGTTTTATCCACTTAAATTTGGTTACATTGATATTGTCATCTTCATAAACTGAAGATCATTGAGCTTGCAACATCGTATGACCTCTAAAGTTGTCCAAACCTCTAGCCTTTTTTCTTGTCCACAACAATCAACGTATTATTGGAATGTATAATCTCACATTTCTATATAAAAAAAATAATCTCAAATGCATTGATCAGTTCAATAGATTATATCAAAATTATCAACCCGATTAGCCCGAATATCCTCGAACATGCAACATTGGATGCCTCTACACAAATGGAGGTATTGGATTGGAAGAGGAGGGCTCTTTAATAAATCTAGTAAAAAAGGGCTAGCAAATGTGCGCCATGGCTGTTGCTGTGCAACGGCAAAAGCTCTTCATAGTTCATACTACTATTCCCATACCACATTTTCCCGCCTCTGTTTTGCTCCTCTGGTACTACTGCTGATTGGCAGCTCGAAATTAGAGTATGATGCAACGGAGTAGGCCAAAAGCAATAGCTCTTTCAACTTTCAAGCATAATGGAGAAACATAAACCAACATACTGATAAATAGGGTTCATGGCATAGAATATGCAATTCAATGATGCTCTTGGGGCAAACTGTATTTCATCAAAACTGAGTCAATACCAGGGCTCTCTTACTCTTACATGCTCTATTGCTCTAATCCAAAGCCCGAATCAAACATAGAACAAGACCCATGTAGATAACTAGAGATCATTAACCATAGAAAAATTCCATCACCTCGCTGCCACGACCGATGGAACACATCACCGTGAGAATCTCATCATTCAATCACTTCACCCTATCACCAAATATATAAGCAGAACAGAAAGAGTATAATCGAAATCATCGACTAACGCTCAAAACAGCTCTGCTGATCTAGCAGTAACTTGCCTAAGCTTCGAGTTCACCTTCCCGGGCGGTGCACCCAAAATGAGGCTGCAGAGAGCATCCCTGGCGATCTTGATATTCCTAAATGAACCCAAGATGTGAATCTTCTCGTCTGCCAGCACAATCCTCGTCTTGGTCGCATTCTCGATGGAGAACTTCGTTTTCCCTCCTTTCCCCGAAAGCCTCCCAATAGCTCTCGACTTGTGCTCGCCCTTGAGGGTCTTCACATCCTTGATCTCAAACGAGTCTACATACAGCTCGTCCATCCTCAGCAGGGCTACGGCGTCGATCACATCGAACCCCATCATGAATGCGTGTACAAAATCGGCACACTTCTGTAGGTTGCTAATGTCAGGGGTATCTCCTCTGGTCTTCAGCTCGACTTTTCTAGCTTTCAGGTTCATTCGGATGTCGACCTTCATCTGCTCGTAGACCGGTGTGTAGATTTCCATCCACGCTTTCTTCAACGGAGTGTATCGGTGAGGAGGGACGGAGACTTTCCTAAACTGGACTTTCCCGTCGGACATCTCGTGCGCCTTCAGCGGCTCGAACAATGGCTTCTCCGGCACAGGCGGAGCTACACCATCTATCTCCATAGCTGCTAGGTAGGTTTCTTCCCTGCAAAATCGAACGATTGGAATCACAGACCGAAAGATTACCCCTTTTCTTCACAAATTTTATCTTTCAAAAACATTCCATCAGATTCTGATCTCCTACGAAAGCTGAATTGGACAGCAAATTAATTCTACCAAATCCTAGCGCAAACGAGAGACTGATTCGATGGACGGAAGGGGAAGCGAGTGTTTCACGTGGAAGGCGGCGAGAAGGAGGAGCAGGGAAGTCGGACTGGTGAAAGAGTCCACGAGATTGACTAGCTCGATGAAATCGAGAGAAGATGAGGAAGAGTGGCCGGAGAGGAGGGGCCTTACCTCGGCGAAAATGGCAGAGCCGCCGCTGGCTGGTGAAGACGGCGGCGATACAAGTTGCTTGGAGGAAAGGCGAGACGGCGGAATTAGGGCAAACTCGGGACAAAATCAGAGAATGCTGAAAGAGGAAAAACACACCGTTTCGCGCAGTTTATATACTTTTCGCGGGGTTTTCGAAATGGGCCTTGACTCTGGATAAGAGTAGATGGGCTCGTTGTAGCAAAATGTGGATCGGGCCCAAACAATATTGCGTTACTAGCTCATCTCAGATTCTGTCTTGTTTAGCGGAAGAACGATATTCCTTGCTCATTAACAATCACTTATTCATAAATTTCGTGTGGGGTGAATAGTTTTCAATTTAGGATCGATCGATATATATATATATGGGGAGTTCTACGGTACCCAGAGTAAAATCCGGGGTACCGCATACCTTGAGTAAGAAAATGCTATCCAGAACTTGAATTGACTAATCTTTCGGACATGATACAATACTCTAATCCTTAAAGATCAACATCTAGGTCTTAATTCTCTAAATCTTATACCCGAAGATCAATTTAATTAGAAACAATAATCGACGATTATGATTCGTCCAAATACAGACAAAAAAATCAATGCACCGTCTTAGTGTTTATAGTTTATGATTTAGATAATTAGGACCTAGGGTTCACTCATTAAGGGTTAGGGTATAGTATCATGCCCAAAAATCCTGCTACGTCGAGGTCTATATAGCATTTTTATACTCAAGGTATGGGGTACCCCGGATTTCACTCGGGGTACCGTAGAAGGCACCATATATATATATATGTATATGGTGCCTTCTACGGTACCCCGAGTGAAATTCAGGGTACCGTATACCTTGAGTATGAAAACACTATCTAGACCTCGAAATAGAAAAAACTTTGGGCTTGGTACTATACCCTAATCCTTATTGAGTGAACTCTAGGTCCTAATTATTTAAATCATAAACTATAAACCCTAAGACGGAGCATTCATTTTTTTGCCTATATTTGGACGAATCATAGCCGTCGATTATTGTTTCTAATTAAATTGATATTGGAGTATAAGATTTAGGGAGCTAAGACTTAGATTTTGATCTTTAAGGGTTAGAGTATAATATCATGTCCAAAAGATCAATCAATTCAAGGTCTGGATAGCGTTTTCATACTCAATGTATGCGGTACACCGGATTTCACTCAGGGTACCGTAGAACTCGCTATATATATATATATATATATATATATATATATATATATATATGGATCAAATCACAGAGTAGGGCAGCGATTTTGGGCCAAACCACCCCGAACCCAAGTAGTTTTCAAAACCACCCCATAACCATGTAGTTTTCATTGAATATCGAGCCCCAACCAACAATTTTTGTGTAAACCGCGAGGTGGGGTGCGTTTTTTGAGTTATGGTGATATTTTAAATTTTTTTCATATAAACCGCCCCAGCCAATAACTTTTGTATAAACCACGAGGTGGAGTGCGCTTTTTGAGTTATGGTGATATTTTAATTTTTTTTCATATAAACCGTGAAGTGGTGTTTTTAGGCCATACAAATCTATCTAGATAATAAATAAAAGCAGAATGATGAAAACTGTTGCTCCATTTCAAATTTCCTGCAACGAGAGTGATTATAGGAAGGACATTTTGGTCTTCACAATTGCTTTTTTTCTTATTTATTTATTCATAAAAAAGGCATGCATTGGGATTTGAACCTTGGTCTCTTTAAAGGCAAGCAAGGATCATAACCAATCAAACTAAGTATATTTGTTGTATCTATTTAAATTCAAACACACACGAACCTAAATTATGAAAATCATATGACTTTTTTAACGATTAACTGGCCACTGAATCTCCCGTAAGTACTTATTTGGTGTTTTAATACTTTAATTATTTTAGTTGTAGTTTAATACTTAATTTAAATTTCTATCTATTTTATAAATATACAATAACCCTAAAATTGCAGCCCAAATATCACTGGTTCGAATATTGCATATCGAATTGCAATATTAAACATGTAGAAGCAATATCGACTTCTTAAATTAATATTATTTTTCAGAATTACTATGGAGAAATTATATCTTTGTGCAAACTATATGAGACTGGTTCTTTTAATGTTTTAGTCGGGATAACCGCTACATTTTAAAATTCTTCATAATCTGGCATGATTGGATCCAATGATCATTATACAAGATTGTGTTTAATAGGGTGGCTCATTTCACCACTTTTTGGCGTGTTAATGAATTTGTAGGACAATGACAGGTCTACATCTACACTCATCACAATCTACACATCATATAAATGTGAAATGTGAAATGAGAAAAGAGGGATTCCATTTCAAATTTGATGCGTACAGAGCAATTTTTTAGGGGTAAATTTAGAAGATGCCAGTGCGGTCGGTCTGTTGAGCACGAAAGTAAAAATATATTTTCATTTAAACGGGCCCAAACTGTTATTTGGCCCACTAATTGTGCACACATCGCCAATGCAGTCAAATTCGGGATTTTGATCGTAAAATCGTAGGATTTTAGGATTTTACTTAGGGATTCCGATCTTTATTTTACTATAAAATCGGTGGACCTTAAAATCGTTTAAAATCGGGATTTTGATTGTAAGAGAACAAAATAGGTGGTTTGAGCCAATTTAAAATAAGTATAATTGTTTCAGCGGAAAGGGCAATGGAATCTTCTCAGATATTTTTCTATTAGAAAAATATTCAAAAATAATAAAAATAACCAAATTAGGGTTCGGTTAATCTCTTTCCCTTCACCCCATTTAACTTATTGGTAAAACACCTGTCCTAATATTGGAAGTATGTAAGAACTAACATCATTATTAACTAATTAATTTATTAATGAATATATTTGTACCAAGCCACTAACATTACTTATTTTATTGGAGTTCAATTATTTTTAGTTTTAAATCATACTTAGTAGACGATGTCGAAATATTACTTTGAGTTAAACAACCTACACATAACATGAAAATAAGAGCCAAACCCATGAACTATATCCCTTCATCATGAATTATTTTGAGTTACACATTAAATAACAATTAAAATAGTGATTTTGGAACATTAATCTTGAGAATTATCTTATGGAAAAAAAATCTTCTGAATTATCATTTTAAATGCTATGTGTCTTTGTGATATTAATAATTTACCTTATTAATATCCTTATATGCTATGTTCTATATGGTACTTAAAATCCTACGATTTTACGATTCGATTATACGATTTTGATTTTACCCCAGTTTTCGATTTTAGGTAAAATCTCGATTTTAACTGATTTGCCCATCGCAGCCTCTCCAAATCTTCCTATTCTACTCGCCGGGTCATCTCCTCCACTACAAAATATCTCCTCATGTACTCAAAGTTCTAACTGAAACCTAATATCTACAACTTAGGCGCAGAGGGAGCAACCGATGGATTGTAGCGACCCCCACTATTTTGATAGCTAATCAAGAAGAGCGCGTTTGTTTAGTTGTATGGTGATTCACTTAATTAACAATTTTTATTCCGTTGACAGCCTCCTCTCCGCAATTGTATTGTGTTCACGAAGATCTGAAGGCGCAAGTGCAACAGGTCTAGGGGTAAACAATATGTATAAAGCGTTGGCCAAATTGAATTGAGTCATTCTACTTGGAATATGAAGATTTTTTGCTTAATTGCTTTGGTTCGTGATGCAACTATGTTATGTTTGAAGGTAGACCAACGCAAACAACAGCACAGCTCCAGGGCTATTCTGCACATTAGGTAGTTGGGGCATTAATTGATAATTATTTGGGATTATTCCTACAAGTACATAATTTGGAACGTGCCTTTATATTGCATTGATTAATAGTTGTTTGAGATTTTTCAAATGAGTGATTTGACATGTTAAACTCTCTTATTTTTGAAAATGGAGTCTTCGAAGTGGAATATGAAGATTTTGGATTAAGCTTGGTTTCGTAACACCCTTATGGGTGTTTATTCTCTAAAATGCAGCTGTCTTTCAAAGTGCCCGTTGCAAATGGCAAGTCAGGATACAACGATGGTACTGGTACACGTTTATATCATTAGTAGGTAGCAGATTGTGTCCATTCTACTATATCATTTAGCTAAATACTTAGTTGTTCTTTTCAACTAAAAATTATGCTTAAATGTTGTGATTGACCTCAGAAATGTATGTCTTTGCATTAACTGTTAATGATTGTGAGTTTTGGTTTAATGGTGAAAGTCCATTTATTTAGAAGTCTAAATTGGGCAAACCTATTGGACAATAGGAATGCCATACATTAGTGTCGTGGGAGGTTTGTTTGATGTCTCAGGGTGTTAGATTTTTAAGAAGGTTGTTTGTTGTGGCAGAGAGTCCCTAAAGCTAGCGAGGTATTCCTATGTGGGCTTTTTCTTTGTTTGACTTTTTCTCGCCTTTTTTCTTATCTCTTTTTCTATTTTTGGTTTTTGTGTGCTACCTTCAGTTGCTACGTCTTCATTTGTGAGCCATCTATACTTTTCTTATTCAGTGCCTAAAAATCATATATACTCGATTGCATAGTAGTTACTAATAGATACATTTATACCAATAGAGAGATTTTAAGTTTTATCAGTTGTTAGTTTTAATATTTACTTACATTGGTTGTTTATGTAGTTTTCTTTGTAATATTTCTCATTATACAACTAATTACTATGGCTACGTAGTTGTATAAGTGGGGGTTGGACATGATAGTTCTTAGAAGCATCAATACTTGAAGGTTATTATAATGACCAAATTCTAAAGTTATGGTTTGCCTTCAACTTGCTTGGAGCATTTCAATTATGCATCAATTGTTCTCTCCGTGTAGTTAACTCTCAGACAAATCGAAAATCTTGCTGATATGTGCTTGATTGTAGTTAAATTTAGGGTTCTACTGCATTGTTGCTTTACTCTTTTTTCGTAGTTGAGTCTGCTTCCAAAAATTTAGTTTGATTTTAGAAAATTTTGCTTCTGCAGTCCTGTCTGAGGCGAAGGCTATTTTTGTGTTGTTGTTGCTGGTTTAGGGATCGGTTTGTGAAGAAGAGGGAGAAGAGAGGGGGAAAGGGAAATGCAGGAGAGGGGGATAACTCTTTTCTCCGACAAAAATGGAGTGAAGAAAGGAATTATGATCAGTAAGAATATGGTTATCTTACATAACGGTCTCTATTCTGTTTGAATTGAGCTTGAGAGGTAGTGATAAGGACGAGCTGCAACCAATTCATAGTGAGAAGAGAGCTATGAACTGTGATCATGTCTTATTTCAAGTTAGAAGGTAGTTTCAGTATAAGGATTATTTAATTTGACAAGTTGTTTCGTCCATGATTCTTGGTAGTTTCAGTGCCATTCTAGCCAATGTTTAGTCTGTAATTTTTGAGAATTGATGTGCGAGTAATGACTTTCACTTAGCTTCAACTATTATGTGTGTATTTATTGGCATGTGATAGAATTCTCTTTTCCTTTTCATTGAATTCATTTTCATACTCTAATTGTATTATTTGTACATAGGCAAATCATGCTCGAGATGGCAACTCGCTGATATGGCTGGTGCAAGGAATGAAGCCATCATTAGAATTCAGACCGACAACGGGGAGGGATGCCCAGGACTAATTCAATGATGATTGATGATGGTATAATAAAAACTGCAGTTTGCATCAGCACCAATTTCTAGGCCTAAGTAAAGGTATTCAACCCAGAACTCTGCTTAGCGCTAAAAATTGCCCTCACCCAACCTTGATCCTGTTTGACCCACTACTGAAGAGTCAAGATATATGACTAATCCTCCCCGTTCGTATTTTCTTATTGACTCTTTCTGACCCTGTAGGTTGGGGCGGGTCGGGAAGAATTGAATTAGTGAGTCGGTCCTAATCAAGTGGAATCTCAATCCCTTCACTCTCACTTGCTTTCTCTCTCATTCCACAAGTGGGTAACATACAGTAATTCGGCCAACGGGCCGGGTAATAAGCTAGTATATTTAAAAAACATTTGGAAGGCGGGAAGAAGGTCCATGGTATCCTTTTCTTTTTTCTGAATATTCTATCTCCAACGACGCCGTATCCTTGTACGGTAACCAACACACGCTGACACTAGGTTTATATCGTGAAAGACTTCAAGTTGGCCGCCGCCGCAAAGGCCGAATCCCAAAAAACGTTCAACTCTCTTCACTCAGCGCCAACCCGCCTCCGTCCCTTTCCCTCCGCCGCTCAGCCGAACAAAAATTCGTCCCGTTCTCAAAGTTCCCGATAAGCAGCACAAGTAGCCAAAAGCTCCCTTCCGACGGATACCCTGTAATCATGCTGGCAAAGGTAAAATCGGAGGGCAACTTGGAAGCAGCAGCAGCAGCCGGAGGCAGGGGAGAAGGAACAGCAATCGGCGGGCAAAAGAGTATCAGCCGCCGCATTCCGGAGGAAGTAGCAGTAGATGAGAAGAAGCCTTCGACTTCTAAACCGGGCATTGTGATTGCCGAGGACCCAGATGGAGTTCTCGTCGACGTCGTGACTTTTGCCGCCATTTCTGCTGCTCCTGCTCCCCCGCCGCCAAACAAGGCTGATTTGGACGCCACCGAGCACTCCAGTTCGTTCGCGGACTCGCTCTCTGACACGGATAAATGCTTCTTTGGCAACAGCGAAGGGGAAGTGGAGTCGGAGTTTTCCGGTGACGGCGATATTGCTTCTCCGTTCGATGCTTTCAGTAGCTTGTTCTACTCCAGGTACTACCCACTTCCCCGTTCATTGGAATGCTTTTGCTTAACGATTAGGAAGAATTTGAAATTCGAATTGCTTTGGTAGGAATGCATTTCTTAGTTGGATAACCCAATTCGGTTCAGGACCAAGTTGGAATCGTTGGGTTTGGATTGTGATTGCATCGAATGCAACTGTTTGGATGTTTCCAATTTGAAATCGGATTGATGAAATGTTTAAGGGTTCATAGTGCCATTATTCTTGTTTCAAGAACCTTAAGTCTTCTTACCTGTAAATCAGGTTGAGCCAGACTTTGATTTGATCTTTGGATTTCTTTTTGGGGCTACCTTCCATATATTTGGAAGCTTTATTGCGTTAAGAGTGATGAGAACATCATCCATCCATCATACCTACCTAGCGATTTCGAATGCTGTATTCCGAGAATACATTCATTTCGTATGTAATTCGATATTTGAGATGGATGTATAGGACGACACCTTGCACTGACATTCCTTTGGTTCTGGCCTAGGAAGAAAAAGGTATCGAATCACTGGAGGAAGTTCATACGGCCCCTCATGTGGCGTTGCAAGTGGGCAGAGCTCAAAATCAAGGAGATTGAGTCTCAACACATGAAGTATTCTGGGGAACTCGCAGCCTATGAACAAAGAAAACAATCAGGAGTCTATCAGTCAATTCCTGAAGGGTTCTGTGCAAAATCTCTGCCATTTTTGAATGCATGTTACAGAAGGAAGTCCAAGAAGAGGCGAAAGAGAAAGAGAGTCGAGGACTCAATGGATATATTATCATCGTCGTCTTTCTTGCCTGATCATCCCTTTTTTTCTTACTTTGGTATGGGCCTCTAAGTATTGATGTATCAACTTCTTGTACCAATTTGCACTCGAAGCTTTTCTCTAACGGTTTTTGATGTGCCATTACTGCAGAAAGCAAGAGAGCTACTGCAGATGGAGCTTCTGTGGTTGACGAATTCGATCCTATAGGTTAGCGTTGTTTCTGCTTTCAAGATGGTTTATCAGTTTCGTACATGCTCTAAACCATTGCGTCCTCCTCACACTGTTTCTTTCGCTCTCTATAATGTGGAATGCAGCATTCACAGACGCACCACGTACCGACGCCAAAGACCAATTGGTGGACACCAGCATCGAGCTGCCATTTGCATTCGGAGACTCCGACGCCTATCTGGAGATCATCCTGCTGAAAATCGAATCAGTGCACTCTCACGTCCACAAATTGAAGGACCAGCTCGATTCAGTGATAACGAACAATGCCGCCAAGTTCTCTTCATGGGACAACCTCTGCCTTCTAGCGCCTTGTGGCGACGAAGGGCAGTCGAGCTCAGCTCCCAGCCCCGTGTTGTCGGTTGGTGGGTTCGATGGCGAGACGATGTCTCCCTGTGGGGATAGGTATACGGAGGGAAATCAGCCTGGTTATGATATGAGCGAGCTGGTTCTGCCTGGGAGTGCAGTGTCGAGTTTCGGAGAGGCGGTCCATGTTCCTGATGTAATTGAGAGCACGGTGGGGATGTTGGCTGATGCTGAAGTAACGTTTCATGAGCCCCAGATTGAGCATCCCTGTGAAAATGTAAGCATCAACTTCTATTATGATACACTATACCACATAAGCCTTCTTGTCTCGCAAGAAAACTGGTGTCACCCAAATCAAATTTTCGCGATGTTGGATCGATAGGAAGCAATGTCCTGATAAGCCTACCTGAGTGTGGAAAAAACTTTATATCTGCAGGTGCTGGAAAATGTCCTGATAAAAAATGAAGCAGCGGATAACACAGATGCTTTCATGGGGACGACGACGATGACGACGACAAATTGTAAGCTGAAAGAAGAGGAGGAGCATCATCATCATCGCAGCGAAGCGATTGAGAAAGGCCACAAACCAACAGCAGTAGAGGAAGAAGAGATCACGAATGGACGTCAAGTTCTAATAACCACCTCCAAGACCGAGGAATTGGCTACAGGAGGGGAATCGTCATCGGTGGCCACTCTGAAATCATGCTTGGCGTTAGAGGTGCAGATCCCCACGAACAAGAGGAAGCGAGGGGAGCGTAAAGCCGGCCCCGGAACTGGCGGCTGGAACAAGAAATCCTCAGGTGACGATGATGCTCCCCCTAACTAGCTACTGTTGATGCTGTAGTTCATCTATGTCCTCGATGAATTCTTTCTTATCAAGAACATCATGGTTTTTACACAGTTCGTACATCATGGTTATGCTATGGTTTCCCGCCTTTTATTTTTCCTCTTCTACTGGGTGGTTTTGACCGGCGCCGATGAATCGAAACTTTTACTGTCGCGGCGGAGATATCCGCAAAACTGAATCTCGGCCGGATTTTTGTCGCGGTAGGATCGTCGAACTCGTTCTCGATAATAACCGACATCTGTTTAACGCGCGGGAGGGGAAAACGGTTAACGCGAGTGACACCGCGATGGGCTGGCGTTGCTATGGGCCCGTGGAGGTGAAGCGTATCTTGGGACGGCCCAAAATCAAGCAAACTAGTGAGTGGATCCGACCCGAATGAATGAAAAGAAAACAGTACACGTAGAAGAAGACAATAGGTAATCTGAAGTTCATAGTTAGACTGAGAGAGAATAATTGTGTTATTAAGTGGGCAACCCGATCAGAATCAGACAAAAGTGGAGGAATGCACATTTAAATAGAGATATATCCAATTGATCATCTCATTCTCATCCTCTGAAGTACGTACCGCACAGTTTGTTAACGAGACTAGTTTTTTTTTTGTCTGGCATAGTTGACGTGGTGATGCCTTTGGAGGTGAAAACGCATCTTCGGCCCGACCCAACACAGTAAGCGAAATTAGTGAATGGATCCTGCCAAAAAAGAACGAAAAATCAGAAAGAGGCACACACATAGAGGTCGATTAGTAAGTATATTAGTTATAGAGAAAGATTGTGTGATTAAGTGGGCAATTCAATTAGGCGAAAGCGGAGGACTATATCTATATGTTCAAACAGAGATTGCCAAGTAAGATTGGAGACATTCCCGAATGATGATCCAATCCTTTATAGCATGAACCGCACAATTTGTCAACGAGACTAGTTTCTTTTCCCTGCTTAAACCGCAAACCCGCATCGAATATCAAGCACCTCTATATCTTGTTATTAATACTACTTCAAGTCCTAGACCCATGTCGACGATCGACATGAAGCATGCACATTCAATGCCTACTAGGCTACCGCCCCACATATCTCATCCTCATCAATTCCCAATAGATAGATGTATCCACCTATACATCATTCAATTCCAAACTACACACACCCTTCAACAATTCAATCATGGCATTGGGGGAGCTATGGGGCAAAGGGGACCGTTATTGTCCCATTTTAAATTGGCAACTAGTGTAATGGCACGCTCATTTACTAACGTGGAAGGAAAGAAGGAACCAATAATTGATATTGAAAATTCAACCAGAAAACCAAACCCACTTGTGGCTGGTGTGTTGTGCTTAAAACCAGGTAGTTGTAGTTGTGTTCTTCCTTCCTGTGAGGAAGCTAGACCAGCCGACAGCTTCTCCACCGTTGCTGCTGCTGAATTGTATATATATAACAGCAGTACGAGCCAAAGAGGAGGAGGAAGAAGAAGATCCTTCCTTCATCGGATCCGCCTGAGAAAGAGAGAGGTTAGTAAATTAATTTGGAAGCAACGCCGGCATCCACGGGTCGCTTTGCTGACTGCTTTGCTTCTGTTTTGTTCATTACTTTATCCACTGGTGGCTTGTATACCGGCGGCGAAGTAGGATCGTCGGAGGTAGTCAGCCGTTGGGGTCAACGCATGACCGTTGTGTTAGAGAAGATTCATTATTGAACCGCTCTCATCGTTGTTATCGGGATTAATTAGTTCTTTGAAATAGTATCAGATCTGTCTGAAATATTTTCTATTCGAATCCTAACAACTTTAATTGTTGAATTCATAATGTTCGGATCGGTACGAACTTCAACCTCATAAGAATTGGCTTTACGGCAACCAGTCTTACTCGGAGGCTTACATATTTATGCTCTTGCTCTACTTGGAAATTGGAATGACCATTAAGTATCTGGTTTCAGTTAATATATTCTAATATTTTATTATTATTTGTGACTTCTAATTTTATATTATATAGGAGTAGATACTTGTCACGGACTCGATCTGATTGTTGACTTCTGACTTCTGATTTTGGGAACTAATTAAGTACATTATGTAATCGTTAATTATTATTATCGTTTGGCTAATGACTGTAGAATTGAATTATTTATATTTGAAAATTTGTCGGCAGACTCTTACACACGTTAAAGAAGACTATTTGTTCACTATCACATGGCCCAAATGGTTTTGCTAATCACATGCTCCTATAATATATAGCTATACTCTAACAACTAAATTTTAGGTTGGGGGAATTTGCTATTCCATAACAACTTACTAATAATCATTTTATCATTGTTATCAAGAGCTGCCGATCATTTGTTTTATTCCAAATTAAATCAGACGAATATTTTGATAAGATCATCATTTATCGGTTGGATACCATTTTGATTAGAAACAATGTGTCATTCATTGCTCTTATTCTGTAGTGTAAAGTGATCTCATCTTAACATATCAAATGTCGATTTGGATGTCAGATTCGATTTCGTATTTGAAGTTTAGCAAATTTTTTCCTACTCATATTAATAATATTCCAGACCCGATAGAGCTAATGACCATTTACATTTTTGGAGTCAAAATTTTTTTTTGGTACGCATTTTGGAGTCAATTTTGATAATAATGCCATATCAATTCGATAAAATTCTATTACTACTATTTTTCTTTTTATAGAAAAGGAAAAGAAATGCGTTATTTTAATCATAGCCAATGAATTCTACCTTTGGCATATTGTTTATGTTTGACAGGTGGAATAATAAGAGGGGACCGAATCATCAACTTGCTTGCGCGCGCCTTTTTTCCCTCAACTACTCCCGGCCTTTTCGCGTAATCCCCAAATTGTTTTTCTTCTCCTTGGCGAGTTTATCGGATCTGGAAAAAAATTCCGTTAATCGAATTATTCTTTTTCCCCTCTTTTTCCTTCCAATTTCCATCTCTTTTCTCCGCCATTTCCCCCAAAAGAGAAAGCCTCGCCATTGTTGCGGTGTCGAGAGCTCCCCACTTTTCCCCGGTCGGCTCTCGATCCGCCTGAGCACATATCCCCGGCGGCCGGAGTAGGGTCAGATTTAAAGGGGAGGGGAAGGAGGAGAAGAGGAAAGTGGAGGTGGAAGGGTTGGAGGAGGAAGGGGAGGAGAGGAGTCGTCGCCGTTGACCACCATGGAAAACATAGCGTCGCAGCTGAAGCGGGGGATATCGCGGCAGTTCTCCACCGGCTCGCTGCGGAGGACGTTCAGCCGGCAGCTGTCGCGGCAGTCGTCGTTCGAGCCGCGGCGGAACAACATGCGGTTCAGCTTCGGGCGGCAGTCGTCGCTGGATCCCATACGGCGGAGCCCGATCAAGGAGGAGCTGCTGGCGGTCCCGGAGAACTTGGACTGCACGATGCAGCTGCTGTTCATGGCGTCCCGCGGCGACGCGCGAGGGGTCGAGGATTTGCTGAACGAAGGGATTGATGTCAACAGCATCGACCTCGACGGGAGGACCGCGCTCCACATTGCCGCCTGCGAGGGACACGCCGAGGTCGTAAAGATTTTGCTCAGTCGGAGGGCCAATATCGACGCTCGCGATCGCTGGGGGAGCACTGTGAGTCCCTTATTGCTTTCCTTCATTTCTTCCCCCTTTCAATTTGGGTAATGGTCTAATGGATGCTGCTTTGGGTAATTCGAATTTGGATTGTGAGTTCCTTTGTTCCCTTGTTCGATCCAATTTGAGTAATTGTTCATGGCTAAGTTAGAAATGGCGGTTTTGTTTCATTATTAATGGCGGGAATCGTTGTTCCCCTCTTCAATTTGTGATGGATGCTGTTTTGGGAAATTCGAATTCGGATTGTGAGTTCCTTTGTTCCCTTGTTTGATCCAATTTGAGTAATTGTTCATGGTTAAGTTGGAAGTGGCAGTTTTGTTTCAATATTAATGGCGGGAACGGGTCCCCTCGCAATTGTACCACACATGAATGTTTTTCCATTCCTCTCTGGTTTATAAATTTGAATGCTTTTACTGAATCATCGGTAAATTGTACCAGGCTTGTGCTGATGCTAAGTTCTACGGGAATGTAGAGATTTACAACATTCTGAAAGCTCGAGGGGCCAAAGTTCCGGTATTTACAATTTTCCTTTTAACCCTCTTAGGAGTGTAGCTCTGGCTATGGAGATGGTAGTAAGTTGGATAACTTATTGTTCTTTTCTCAGAAAACCAGGAAGACGCCAATGGCTGTAGCAAATCCTCGAGAAGTACCCGAGTACGAACTTAATCCACTAGAACTTCAAGTTCGGAGGTCTGATGGCATCACAAAGGCAAGTGGGAACTGTTTTTCTCTGTTCATTGGATGAGGTGTGAGGATTTCCTCTCAATTGTGGTGTGATGTCCCATCTTTTCTATATATGGTAGATTCACGTTGTTGCTATTGAAATGGTGTGAGTATTTGGTGTTTTGGGGATTCATTTCTTCACGTGTTTTCGTCATTATGGCTTGCTTCTAAACAGGGTACATATCAAGTGGCTAAGTGGAATGGTACAAAGGTTGCAGTAAAGATACTTGACAAGGATTGCTACACGGATCCTGAAAGCATGTATGCAGTCACCTTCTCTATCTCCCTTTCGTTACTTTCAATAGGTCGAAAAAACAGTTGCAGAACATTTACTCTCGCGTTACATGAGGACTTGGTAGATCTAAAAAATTATAATGATAGTTTCATTAGCTTGAATTGCTTTCAGCTATTCTTGCATAGAAAAACTATTGACCATTGATATTGTATTGCAGATGCGCATTCAAAAATGAATTGACCTTATTAGAGAAGGTTCGACATCCAAATGTGGTTCAGTTTGTTGGAGCAGTTACCCAAAATATACCAATGATGATAGTTATAGAGTATCAACCAAGAGTAAGTTACTTGTCCTCTATCATTCTCTCTCTAGCATACTCATTTATCAATTATTACCGGGGTAAAATAGCTTGTGAATATATGGTTCTTTAACACAATCATGTATCTTTTTTCTACATTACAGGGAGACTTGGGAAGTTATCTTCAAAAGAAAGGTCGTTTGTCACCATCCAAAACTCTAAGATTTGCTCTTGACATTGCCAGGCATGTGCACTTTGAATTCCTCAAAATGATTCTACGCATTTCTGTGACAGTTAATTTTTTAACTCAATGATCATAGGTCTCCCACTTGTACTTGGGAAAGGATGATGTACCATATTCATATTTGCATATTGTGGCAATCTTCACTTGATTTTAACACTGTCCTGTTTTTTTTTGTTTTTTTTTTTTTCTGTTATCAGGGGTATGAATTACCTTCATGAATGTAAACCAGACCCAATAATCCACTGCGATCTAAAGCCAAAGTAAGACAACCAAATGCACAAGCTTATTTGGTATCCGAATTGTGATATATTCTCAGTGGAATGTCCTATTCTTTAATATCTGAAATTTTGGTAAGGTGCCAGAAACATTATGCTGGATAGTGGGGGTCATTTGAAGGTTGCTGGGTTTGGTTTGATAAAGCTGTCCCTAATTTCACTTGACAAAGCTAAAGTTGCGTCAGGATCTTTATTGGACCCCTCAAGTAAGTTTGATTGCATGTACCTTATATTGTTTTCGTGGAAAATGTAGGCAACTAAGATAACAGCTACTCCATTGCTAGTTTGATTGTCAACGGCAAAAATAGCTCTTTACTTGAATTGCTTTTTCTATATCTACAGATGTATATATGGCACCTGAAGTTTACAGAGATGAAATTTTCGACAGAACTGTGGATGCTTACTCTTTTGGTGTTATGTTATATGAGGTAATCCCGTTCCCTTTGCTATTGCATTCCATGTTCAACGCACCATTACCTCGTAATGGTTTTATCTGTAGGCTTTAATGCTTTGTCATCAGGATGATATTCTACTATGTTTTGCAAACATAACATCTTTGAGATTTCTTGTTTGTTTCTTGTTGGGGCATAGATGATCGAGGGAGCGTACCCATTCTATCCCAAGCCTCTTGAAGAGGCTGTTAAATTGATGGGTATCGAGAAGAACAGACCTGCGTTTAAGCTCAAGTCCAGACATTATCCTCCTGATATGAAAGAGTGAGTTCGTCACCATCGTAATATACTTCTCTAAACACCAAGTTCTAGTGATTCATGTGATCGTTAAGTTACTCTAGCCATACTCATATGCCATTGTCCCCTTAAATCTTGTAAAGGAATCTCTTTAATGGGGAAATTAATGATATTACGAGTGTTGGAAGAACGCATTGCCTTAGTTCTACAAGTAGGATAACATTCCCTCTGTGCCCAATTTTGCGAACAGATTGATTGATGAATGCTGGCATCCAGAACCAGTTGCCAGGCCAACGTTTTCTGAGATAATTGTGCGGCTGGACAGAATAGTTGCACACTGTTCGAAGAATGGCCGGTGGAAAGACACTTTCAAGCTACCCTGGTATTCCTCTCTCTGATCAACTTTCATCCCCAGTAGTCACATATACAAATGCAACCTTCTTCACGCTTACACCGGTCACGACACATTTGAATTCACCCTTACCGTCACTTGCAGGAAATAAGAGGAAAGAGGATGGGTTAGTAGGGGGGAAACGGTGTAAGAAAGCAATGGTGAATGAGCTGACATTGAGGGAAAGAAAGTGGGGAAGAAAGCTTCATGTACTATACAAGGCCATGGGTATATATATAAAAGTTCTAGTGAGACGGTGGATGTTCGACCCGAGCGAGGAAAAGAGACTGCAGCAAAGCTGCATTTCAAGTTCAAACTGCATTCCGTTTGTAATCAGAAGATTTGCTTGCATAAAGAATTCACATCGTTATGTAAAAAAGAAGGAAAAACATGGCCATTGTTGTAAAATGTGTTCTTGTGATAATAGGGAAAAAGGGGAGTTCTGATGGTTGCAGTGATATGTTTGGTGCTGATTTAACTTCATTTTACTATAGTTTGTGATGGTTGCAGTGATATGTTTGGTGCTGATTTAACTTCATTTTACTATAGTTTGAGAAATATCACGAACGAAAAACCTACAAGGTGTTCTGGGTACGGGAAGACTATGACGGTCAATTAGATGTAGGAGTTTTCGTTTAGAATGCTACATAATAGTTAAAATTATCGATTCTTGATACACTTAAGTGGACTTTGTTAAGGCCAACGAATTTGTTACATGTGAATGGATCTCAAGTCCTCCTTTGGAACTAGGATCCATACAAGCGTTGTACATCAATTGAACATAGATAGATGACGCCCTTGTCTCATTCAAACAGATTAAGTGGTCAGTTCGTAATGTAAAATTGCATTGTGTGTCTAGTAACTGCAATGCCGGCATCCAAACGATTCTTCAATGTCTCTTTGCTCATTGTTGCTTTCACAATATGACTTCTCAATAAGCTGAACTTGCTTTGTATAATTCGAACTTCTTATTTTTTTAACGTACAATTCGCTGTATTGCGTCCTTTTCATGACTAGTATTATTTATTGCCAATAACTATCTAGCTACTTCTTGGCTAACTGCTTCTCGTCGCCTACTTGCTCCAACTCATAAATTACTTGGTACAAATTTGGATTTTTCCATCAAGTTGAGAAGTCAACTGCATGGGCTTTCATCAACAAAGTAAAACACATTGGGGCTCTTTTGAGAAGCTTTACAAATTTTATGGGCTCAATTCTTAAAAGCATGTAAAGTTTCAGGTAAATTTCGTAATAAATTTGATAATCAAGAGTAGTTTACAAGAATACTATAGTCCTCTATCCCCAATTATTACTGTTAAAAAAAAAAATTAATGCAAAATTTAACCTCTGTCTCATTCAGATTTATAGATCAGCCACTCTGACGTGTTGAATAAGAGCAAGGTGGATAACTGATGAGGATGATGCCATGTGACTTTGACTTGGCATATATGGTACAAGTGTTAGGGCATCAGCATAATTAGATTACATTATCCCAAAGTTGATGCATGCTTGTTGCTTCCAGCATCCCACAACTAATTATAATTCCCAAGTGATATTGGATTGACTTGGCATGGTACACGTGTGATGATTGTATATCTACTTAGTATGTTTGATTAATGGTGAAACATCCTCAAATGGGTTACCTTTTGATAAACATCACTGAGTATTAAATGAAATACTTGGTTGATGGTGATCTAATCAAACTTTTAATTAAGAACCCAAGAAGTCTTGAGCAGAAATATGTAAGTCTATTGATCCTATTCTCCACGGATGATAAGGCCATTAAGCACCGATTTGGGCCAATTTATTGTCGGATGGGGTTTTCGTAATTTTGTTGGCTTCGAAAGGCCATTTTCTTTAGATTTTGAAGGCTACAGATCACGGATTCGGCCTAAGGCTATTCTTCAAGGATGATTAAGTCCATTAAGCGCCGATCAGGGCGGATTTATCCTGGGTCAATATTGGGCAGATTGCAAAGGGGTACCATCACTAATTTTGGGCGATTTTTCCGAAATGCCATTTTCTTTCGATTCTGGAGGCTACAGATCACGAAATCAGGCTGAGGCTATTCTCCACCGATTATAAAGTCTACTGATCCTATTCTCCACGGATGATAAGTCCATTAAGCACCGATTTGGGCCAATTTATTTTCGGATGGCATTTTTGTAATTTTGTGGGCGTCGAAAGGCCATTTTCTTTGGATTTTTAAGGCTACAGATCATGGATTCGGCCTGAGGCTATTATTCAAGGATGATTTAAGCACCGATCTGGGCGGATTTATTTTGGGTCAATTTTTGGCAGATTGCAAAGGGGCACCATCACAGATTTTGAGCGATTTTTCCCAAATGCAATTTTCTTTCGATTCTGGAGGCTACGATCACGGAATCATGCCGAGGCAATTCTCCACCGATAATGAAATCTATTGATCCTATTCTCCACGGATGATAAGTCTATTAAGCATCAATTAGGACCAATTTATTTTCGGATGACATTTTCGTAAATTTGTGGGCGTCGAAAGGCCATTTTCTTTGGATTTTGAAGGCTAAAGATCACGGATTCGGCCTGAGGCTATTCGTCAAGGATGAATAAGTCCATTACGCACCGATCTGGGCGGATTTATTCTTGGTCAATTTTTGGCAGACTGCAAAAGGGTACCCATCACAGATTTTGGGCGATTTTTCCGAAATGCCATTTTCTTTCGATTCTGGAGGCTACAGATCACAGATTCAGGCCTAGGCTATTCTCCACCAATAATGAATTCTATTGATCTTATTCTCCACGGATAATAAGTCAATAATGCACCGATTTGGGCCAAATTAATTTCAGATGGCATTTACGTAATTTTGTGGGCGTTAAAGGCCATTTTCTTTTGATTTTGAAGGCTACAGATCACGGATTCGGCCTGAGGCTATTCGTCAAGGATGATTAAGTCCATTAAACACCGATTTCAGGGGATTTATTCCGGGTCAATTTTTGGCAGATTGCAAAGGGGTACCATCATAGATTTTGGGCGATTTTTCCGAAATGCAATTTTCTTTCGATTCTGGAGGCTACAGATCACGGATTCAGGCCTAGGCTAATCTCCATCGATAATGAAGTCTATTGATCTTATTCTCCACGGATAAAAAGTTCATAAAGCACCAATTTGGACAAATTTAATTTCAGATGGCATTTTAGTAATTTTGTGGGCGTCGAAAGGCCATTTTCTTTGGATTTTGAAGGCTACAGATCACGGATTCGCCCCGAGGCTATTCTTCAAGGATGATTAAGTACATTTAGCACCGATCTAGGTGGATTTATTCCGGGTCAAATTTTGGCAGATTGGAAAGGGTACCATCACAGATTTTGGGCGTTTTTTTGAAATGCCATTTTCTTTTGATTCTGGAGGCTACAGATCACGGAATCAGGCCGAGGCTATTGTCCACCGATAATGAAGTCTATTGATCCTATTCTACACGGATGATAAGTCCATTAAGCACCGCTTTGGGCCAATTTATTTTCGGATAGCATTTTCATAATTTTGTGGGCTTCGAAAGACCTTTTTCTTTGGATTTTGAAGGCTACAGATCACAGATTCGGCTTGAGGCTATTCGTCAAGGTTGATTATCTTCATTAAGCACCGATTTGGGCGGATTTATTCCAGGTCAATTTTTGGCATATTGCAAAGGGGTATCATCACAGATTTTGGGCGAGTTTTCCGAAATGCCATTTTCTTTATATTCTGGAGGCTACAGATCACGGAATCAGGCCGAGGCTATTCTTCATCGATAATGAAGTCTATTGATCAAATTCTCCACGTATAATAAGTCCAAAAACCACCGATTTGGGCCAATTTCTTTTCAGATGACATTTTCGTAATTTTTTGGGCGTTGAAAGGACATTTTCTTTGGATTTTGAAGGCTGCTGGTTACGGATTCGGCCTTAGTCTATTCTTCATGGATGATTAAGTCCATTAAGCACCGATCTGGTGGAATTTATTCCGGGTCAATTTTTGGCAGATTGCAAAGTAGGTACCATCACTGATTTTGGGTGATTTTTCCGAAATGCCATTTTCTTTCGATTCTGGAGGCTACAGATCACAGAATCAGGCCGAGGCTATTCTCCACTGATAATGAAGTCTATTGATCCTATTCTCCACGGATAATAAGTCTATTAAGCACTGATTAGGGGCAATTTATTTTTAGATGGCATTTTCGTAATTTTGTGGGCATCGAAAGGCCATTTTCTTTGGATTTTGAAGGCTACAGATCACGGATTCGGTCTGAGGCTATTTTTCATGGATGATTAAGTCATTTAAGCACCGATCCGAGCGGATTTATTCCGGTTCAATTTTTGGCAGATTGCAAAGGGGTACCATCACAGATTTTGGGAGATTATCCGAAATACAATTTTCTTTCGATTCTGGAGGCTACAGATCACGGAATCAGGCCGAGGCTATTCTCCACCGATAATGAAGTCTATTGATCCTATTCTCCACGGATGATAAGTCAAGTAAGCACCGATTTGGGCCAATTTATTTTCGAAAGCCATTTTCGTAATTTTGTTGGCTTCGATAGGCCATTTTCTTTGGATTTTGAAGGCTACAGATCACGGATTCGGCCTGAGGCTATTCATCAAGGATGATTAAGTCCATTAAGCACCGATCTAGGCGGATTTATTCCATGTCAATTTTTGGTAGATTCCAAAGGGGTACCATTATAGATTTTGGGCGATTTTTCCGAAATGTCATTTTCAATCGATTCTAGAGGCTACAAATCGGGGAATTAGGCCGAGGCTATTCTCCACCGATAATGAAGTCTATTGATCCTATTCTCCCCGGATGATAAGTCCATTAAGCACCGATTTGGGCCAATTTATTTTTGGATGGTGTTTTCGTAATTTTGTGGGCTTCGAAAATATATTATCTTTAGATTTTGAAGGCTACACATAACGGATCGGCCTGAGGCTATTCTTCAAGGATGATTAAGTCCATTAAGCACCGATCTGGGCTGTTTATTCCTTGTCAATCCCTTTGCAGATTTTGGGCGATTTTTCCGAAATGCCAATTTTTTTTCGATTTGGAGGCTACTGATCACGGTATCCGGCCGAGGCTATTCTCCCCCGATAATGAAGTCTATTGATCCTATTCTCCACGGTTGATAAGTCCATTCAGCACCGATTTGGGGCAATTTATTTTCGGATGGCATTTACGTAATTTTGTGGGGGCCGAAAGGCCATTTGCTTTTGATTTTGAAGGCTACAGATAACGGATTCGGCTTCATGCTATTCGTCAAGGATGATTAAGTCCATTAAACACCGATTTGGGCGGATTTATTCCGGTCAATTTTTGGCAGATTGCAAAGGGGTACCATCATAGATTTTGGGCGATTTTTCCGAAATGCCATTTTCTTTCGTTTTCGGAGGCTACAGATCACGGATTCAGGCCTAGGCTATTCTCCACCGATAATGAAGTCTATTGATCCTATCCTCCACGGATAAAAAGTCCATAAATCACCAATTTGGGCAAATTTAATTTCAGTTGGCATTTTCGTAATTTTGTGAGCTTCGAAAGGCCATTTTCTTTGGATTTTGTAGGCTACAGATAACGGATTCGGCCTGAGGCTATTCTTCAAGGATGATTAAGTCCATTAAGCACCGATCCGGGCTGATTTATTCCAGGTCAAATTTTGGAATATTGCAAAGGGGTACCATCACAGATTTTGGGCGATTTTTCCGAAATGCCATTTTCGATCGATTCGAGAGGCTCCTAATCGCGGAATCAGGCCGAGGCTATTCTCCACTGATAATGAAGTCTATTGATCCTATTCTCCCAGGATGATAAGTCCATTAAGCACCGATTTGAGCAATTTATTTTCAGATGGGGTTTTCATAATTTTGTGGGATTCGAAAGGCCATTTTCTTTGGATTTTGAAAGCTACAGATCATGGATTCAGCCAGAGGCTATTCTACAAAGAAGATTAAGTCCATTAAGCACCAATCTAGCAAGATTTATTCCGGGTCAATTTTTGGCAGATTGCAAAGGGGTACCATCACATATTTTGGGCGATTTTTCTGAAACGCAATTTTCTTTCGATTCTGGAGGCTACTGATCACTGTATCAAGCCGAGGCTATTCTCCACCGATAATGAAGTCTATTGATCCTATTCTCTACGGATGATAAGTCCATTAAGCACCGATTTGGGCCAATTTATTTTCGGATGGCATTTTCGTAATTTTTTGGGCATCGAAAAGCCATTTCCTTTGGATTTTGAAGGTTACAGATCACGGATTCGGCCTGAGGCTATTCTTCAAGGATGATTAAGTCCATTAAGCACCGATCTGGGCGGATTTATTTCGTGTCAATTTTTGGCAGATCGCAAAGGGGTACCATCACAGATTTTGGACGATTTTTCCGAAATGCCATTTTCTTTCGATTCTGGTGGCTACAGATCACGGAATCATGCCGAGGCTGTTCTCCACCGATAATGAAGTCTATTGATCCTATTCTCCACGGATGATAAGTCCATTAAACACCAATTTGGGCCAATTTATGTTCGGATGACATTTTCGTAATTTTGTGGGCGTCGAAAGACCATTTTCTTTGGATTTTGAAGGCAACAGATAACGGATTTGGCCTTAGGCTATTCTTCAAGGATGATTAAGTCCATTAAGCACTGATCTGGGCGGATTTATTCCGGGTCAATTTTTGGCAGATTATAAAGGGGTACCATCACAGATTTTGGGTGATTTTTCCGAAATGCCATTTTCTTTCGATTCTAGAGGCTACTTATCACGGTATCAGGCCGAGGCTATTATCCACCGATAATGAAGTCTATTGATCCTATTCTCCACGGATGATAAGACCATTAAGCATCGATTTGGGCCAATTTATTTGAGGATGACATTTTCGTAATTTTCTAAGCGTCGAAAGGCTATTTTCTTTCGATTTTGAAAGATACAGATCACAGATTCGGCTTGAGGCTATTCTACAAGGATCATTAAGTCCATTAAGCACAGATCTGGGCGGATTTATTTCGTGTCAATTTTTGGCAGATTGCAAAGGGGTACCATCATAGATTTTGGACGATTTTTCCGAAATGCCATTTTCTTTCGATTCCGGAGGCTACAAATCACGGAATCTGGTCGAGGCTATTCTCCACCGATAATGAAATCTATTGATCCTATTCTCCAAGGATGATAAGTCCATTAAGCACCGATTTGGGCCAATTTATTTTCGCATGGCATTTTCGTAAGCTTTTGGGCGTCGAAAGGCCATTTTCTTTGGATTTTGAAGGCTACAGATCACGAATTCGGCCTGAGTCTATTCTTCATGGATGATTAAGTCCATTAAGCACCGATATGGGCGGAGTTATTCCGGGTCAATTTTTGGCAGATTGCAAAGAGATACCATCAAAGATTTTGGGCGATTTTTTCGAAATGCCATTTTCTTTCGATTATGGAGGCTACAGATCAACGAATCAGGCCGAGGCTATTCTCCACCGATAATGAAGTCTATTGATCCTATACTCCACGAATAATAAGTCCATTAAGCACCGATTAGGGACAATTTATTTTTAGATGGCATTTTTTCGTAATTTTGTGGGCATTGAAAGACCATTTTCTTTGGATTTTGAAGGCTACAGATCACGGATTCGGTCTGAGGCTATTCTTCATGGATGATTAAGTCCATTAAGCACCGATCTGGGCGGATTTATTCCGGTTCAATTTTTGGCAGATTGCAAAGGGGTACCATCACAGATTTTGGGCGATTTTTCCGAAATACAATTTTCTTTTGATTCTGGAGGCTACAAATCACAGAATCAGGCCGATGCTATTCTCCACCGATAATGAAGTCTATTGATCCTATTCTCCACAGATGATAAGTCCATTAAGCACCAATTTGGGCCAATTTATTTTCGGATGGCATTTTCGTAATTTTATTGGCTTCGAAAGGCCATTTTCATTGGATTTTGAAGGCTACAGATCACGGATTCTGCCTGAGGCTATTCTTCAAGGATGATTAAGTCCATTAAGCACCGATCCGGCCGGATTTATTCCGGGTCAGTTTTTGGTAGATTGCAAAGGGGTACCATCATAGATTTTGGGCGATTTTTTCGAAATGCCATTTTCTTTCGATTATGGAGGCTACAGATCACGGAATCAGGCCGAGACTATGCTCCACCGATAATAAGTCCAATAAGCACAGATTTGGGCCAATTTATTTTCGGATGGGGTTTCGTAATTTTGTTGGCGTCGAATGGCCATTTTCTTTTGATTTTGAAGGCTACAGATGACGGATTCGGCCTGAGACTATTTTTCAAGGATGATTAAGTCCATTAAGCACCGATCTGGGTCGATTTATTTCGGGTTAATTTTTGGCAGATAGCAAAGGGTACCATCACAGATTTTGGGCGATTTTTCAGAAATGCCATTTTCTTTCGATTCTGGAGGCTAATGATCACGGTATCAGGCCGAGGCTATTCTCCACCGATAATGAAGTCTATTGATCCTATTCTCCATGGATGATAAGTCCATTAAGCACCGATTTGGGGGAATTTATTTTCAGATGGCATTTTCGTAATATTGTGAGCGTCGAAAGGCCATTTTCTTTTGTATTTTAAAGGCTACAGATCACGGCTACAACCTGAGGGTATTCTCCACCGATAATGAAGTATATTGATCCTATTCTCCACGGATGATAAGTCCATTAAGCACCGATCTGGGCCAATTTATTTTCAGATGGGGTTTTCGTAATTTTGTGGGCTTCGAAATGTCATTTTCTTTGGATTTTGAAAGCTACAGATCACGGAATCAGGCCGATTTTGGGCGATTTTTACGAGGCTATTCTGGGCGATTTTGGGCGATTTTTCTTTCGATTCTGGAGGCTACAGAACACGGAATCAGGCCGAGGCTATTCTCCACCGATAATGAAGTCTATTGATCCAATTCTCCACGGATAATAAGTCCATTAAGCACAATTTTAAGCTAATTTATTTTCAGATGGCATTTTCGTAATTATGTGGGCGTCGAAAGGCCATTTTCTTTGGATTTTGAAGGCTACAGATCATTGATTCGACCTGAGGCTTTTCTTCATGGATGATTAAGTCCATTAAGCAAAGATCCAGGCGGATATATTCTGGGTCAGTTTTTGGCAGGTTGCAAAGGGGTACCATCACAGATTTTAGACGATTTTTCGGAAATGCCATTTTCTTTCGATTCTGGAGGCTACAGATCACGAAATTAGGCCGAGGATATTCTCCTCCGATATTGAAGTCTATTGATCCTATTCTCCACGAATGATAAGTCCATTAAGCACCGATTTGGGCCAATTTATTTTCAGATAGCATTTTCGTAATTTTGTGGGCGTCGAGAGGCCATTTTCTTTAGATTTTGAAGGCTACAGATCACGGATTTGGCCTGAGGCTATTCTTCAAGGATGATTAAGTCCATTAAGCACCGATCTGGGCGGATTTATTTCGGGTCAATTTTTGGTAGATTGCAAAGGTTACCATCACAGATTTTGAGCGATTTTTCCGAAATGCCATTTTCTTTCGATTATGGAGGCTACAGAGCATGGAATCATGCCGAGGCTATTCTCCACCGATAATGAAGTATATTGATCCAATTCTCCACGGATAATAAGTCCATTATGCACCGATTTAGGCTAATTTATTTCCAGATGGCATTTTCGTAATTTTTTGGGCGTCGAGAGGCCATTTTCATTGGATTTTGAAGGCTATCGATCACGGATTCGGCCTGAGGCTATTCTTCACGGATGATTAAGTCCATTAAGCACCGATCTGGGTGGATTTATTTCTGGTCAATTTTTGGTATATTGCAAAGGGGGTACCATCACAGATTTTGAGCGATTTTTCTGAACTGTCATTTTCTTTCGATTCTGGAGGCTACAAATCATGGAATCATGCCGAGGCTATTCTCCACCGATAATGAAGTCTATTGATCCAATTCTCCACGGATAATAAGTCCATTAAGCACCAATTTAAGCTAATTTATTTTCAGATGGCATTTTCGTAATTATGTGAGCGTCGAAAGGCCATTTTCTTTGGATTTTGAAGGCTACAAATCACGGATACGACCTGAGGCTATTCTTCATGGATGATTAAGTCCATTAAGCACCGATCCAGGCGGACATATTCCGGGTCAGTTTTTGGCAGGTTGCAAAGGGGTACCATCACAGATTTTGGACGAATATTTCGAAATGCCATTTTCTTTCGATTCGGGAGGCTACAGATCACGAAAATAGGCCGAGGCTATTCTCCACCGATAATGAAGTCTATTGATCCTATTCTCCACGAATGATAAGTCCATTAACCACCAATTTGGGCGAATTTATTTTCAGATGGCATTTTCGTAATTGTGTGGGCGTCGAGAGACCATTTTTTTTAGATTTTGAAGGCTACAGATCACGGATTCGGCCCGAGACTAGTCTTCAAGGATGATTAAGTCCATTAAGCACCGATCTGGGCGGATTTATTTCGGGTTAATTTTTGGTAGATTGCAAAGGGGTACCATCACAGATCATGGAATCATGCCGAGGCTATTCTCCACCGATAATGAAGTCTATTTATCCAATTCTCCACGGATAATAAGTCCATTATCCACTGATTTAGGCTAATTTATTTTCAGATGACATTTTTGTAATTTTTTGGGCGTCGAAAGTCCATTTTCTTTGGATTTTGATGACTACAGATCACGGATTCGACCTAAGGCTATTTTTCATGGATGATTAAGTACATTAAGCACGGATCTAGGGCGGATTTATTCTGGATCAGTTTTTGGCAGATTGCAAAGGGGTACCGTCACAGATTTTGGGCGATTTTTCCGAAATGCCATTTTCTTTCGATTCTGAATGCTACAGATCACGGAATCAGGCCGAGGCTATTCTACATCGATAATGAAGTCTATTGATCGTATTATCCACGAATGATATGTCCATTAAGCACCAATTTGGGCCAATTTATTTTCAGATGGCATTTTCGTAATCTTGTGGGCGCCGAAAGGCCATTTTCTTTTGTATTTTAAAGGCTACAGATCACGGCTACAGCCTGAGGCTATTCTTCAAGGGTGATTAAGTCCATTATCCACCGATCTGGGCAGATTTATTTCTGGTCAATTTTGGTTAGATTGCAAAGGGGTACCATCACAAATTTTGGGCGATTTTTCCGAAATGCCATATTCTTTCGATTCTGGAGGCTACAGATCATGGAATCATGCCGAGGCTATTCTACACCGATAATGAAGTATATTAATCCAATTCTCCACGGATAATAAGTCCATTAAGCACCGATTTAGGACAATTTATTTTCAGATGACATTTTCGTAATTATGTGGGCGTCGAAAAGCTATTTTCTTTGGATTTTGAAGGCTACAGATCACAGATTAGACCTGAGGCTATTCTTCATGGATAATTAAGTCCATTAAGCACCAATCCGGGCAGATTTAATCCGGGTCAGTTTTTAGCAGATTGCAAAGTGGTACCATCACAGATTTTGGGCGATTATTCCGAAATGACATTTTCTTTCAATTCTGGAGGCTACAGATCACGAAATCAGGCCGAGGCTATTCTCCACCGATAATGAAGTCCATTTATGATATTATCCACGAATGATAAGTCCATTAAGCACCGATTTGTGCCAAATTATTTTCAGATGGCATTTTTCGTAATTTTGTGGGCGTCGAGAGGCCATTTTCTTTAGATTTTGAAGGCTACTGATCAGGGATTCGGTCTGGGCTATTCTTCAAGGATGATTAAGTCCATTAAGCACCGATCTGGGCGGATTTATTTCGGGTCAATTTTTGGTAGATTGCAAATGGGTACCATCAAAGATTTTGAGCGATTTTTCTGAAATGCCATTTTCTTTCGATTCTGAAGGCTACAGATCATGGAATCATGCCGAGGCTATTCTCCACCGATAATAAAGTCTATTGATCCAATTCTCCACGGATAATATGTCCATTTAGCACTGATTTAGTCTAATTTTTTTTCAGATGACATTTTCTTAATTTTTTGGGCGTCGAAAGTCCATTTTCTTTGGATTTTGAAGGCTACAGATAACGGATTTGGCCCGAGGATATTCTTCAAGGATGATTAAGTCCATTAAGCACCGATCTGGGCGGATTTATTTTCGGTCAATTTTTGGCAGATTGCAAAGGGGTACCATCA